CAATCTTCCAATAGATTGATTTGCCCCCCCTTCCGATGGGATGATCCAGGCATTGCCAGGGAGAGAGCGAGGCGGGACAGCCAGGCCGAGATTCTGCAACCCCCGCCCGTCCACCCGCCCCGGCCGCCCTTCTTCAGGGCCTCCCCTCGGCCCTTGGGTTTCGTTCCGGTGCAGTCGATGCCGCTCGGTGGCTGGGACACATACTGCTCCCGGCCTGGGACTCACCGCCGGCGGCGCCGGCGGGCGGCACAGGCTTCATGCGTGTCCCGGCGCGCGGGGCACTTCTTGAAGAAGGTCCGGCGTCGTTTATCATGCGTGGAGGCGCAGGTTCGGCGCCCGGCATAGCCACCTCGCATGAGTACACAATATTGTTTTGTACGTTGCTTGCTACTGTACCTCGAACAGGTACCAACCGAACATGTGCCATTGTAGTCGAAGTGCCTGTTTCGTATCGACAAGTTGTGGTCCAATGGGCCCGCCAATGTGTGCGTGCCCACCGATTTCCGATATTAATCTCACAAACCATGTCGTCTTATACAAGGCCTGCGCGCATGTAGGTACGTCGAATTCCTCAACTACGCACATGTTTGCTGTCTCTTTCTTTGGCTGCCGTAGGGGAGTCCGCACGCCAGGCGTGTGTATGCAGCAATCTATGCGTTTTTTCTCTGTAGACGGATGCCTTGTCATCGCTGGGAGGTCGTGCACGCCCAGCCTTACATGATACCTGTGGCGCGCACCTTGCCTACCCGCCGTCTTGACCGCGCCGCCTCTGGCTACTGCGCGAACGGCACCGCCATCATGATCCCATCAAATCTCTCGGCATCGTCCGCGTTCATGCCCAGCGTTCGAATAGCACCCTCCCCTCCATCTTCAACTTCGCTGGCATTGACGAACATCATCTCAATCAGATGAACCTTTACGACTACAACTCTAGCGCCTTGCCACTTCGCCGTAGTATGCTGCTATATAATGGTTCGCTGGAACCGAGTTGTCGATGCTCTCGTAGTCTCGTACGTCCTGCACAGTCTCGTTCAGCCTGCACCAACGCAACCACTATCAAAACACACCATGAAGGCCTCGATTGTTATTCTCGCTCTTATTCAAGGGCTGGCTCTCGCCGCCCCAGGGAGGCCGAAGTACCGCGAGGCGCTGAAGCAGCTCATGGACGACCCCATTACACGGCCCTGGAACAGCGAGATGCTAGACACTGAGCAGCGAGAAGCCAGTGGAAGCCCCGCGGAACTGGAAGAGATGGCGCGGGCGTACCAGCAGCGAGTTCTGCCACGCGAGTGTTTCGAGGCGGACAAGCAGATCAAGCCTTTCTGCGAGTACAGATATCGCTTCTGCGCAGGAGGTTATTTATCAGGACCAGACTTTGTCGGGACATGGAAGTCAGGCGCCAAGTTCGAAGGCTTTGAGCAATGTGTAAAAACGCAGTTACAGCAGTGGCTAGCAACCGAGTAAGTAAACAGCTAATGCTGGCACGAGTAAAGTTCTTCCGTACTTACTATACTACAGGGACGCAAAATCGACCTAGAATTAGATAAAGTACTTGAATACGAAAAAGAACATTAGTTATAACTCCATGAATTGAATAGATTAGGCTAGTTTTGATATAAAAAGGGAAAAAACCAAAACCCTTGGTTATGAGAGCTTCACGACTATCCCCCAGCCAGACCAGAACCGGCCAGGCCACCTGCGCACATGCAGACGGGGCTACAACCACAGAGACAAACGCGGGAGGCCAAGCCCGTTTCTGGCGGTCGCATCTTGAGCGGCCGGCCCGCGACGCAGGGCACCAGACGCGCGCGCTGCCTCCGTCGACGCGGCGGCTGGCCGGGAGGCTCTCTGCTTTAGTAACTTACTTGGTACCTTTGCTGGTCCCTGCTGGTGAGGGCGCCAAGGTGTTTCTGCTTCCTGTTGTGTGGCGGCACATGGATGGACGGCTGGATCAACGCCAACACTCAGAAGCGATCATTTGGGGCACTTCCTGTTGTTCGTCACCGCAGGGCATCGGTCTTTTATGTGTCCATGCTTCCTTGCTTTCCCGCCCGTGCTTCGTACCGAGCCGAACCGTAACTGCGCCCCTTGAACTCCCTTAAGTTTTCCCTCGGTCGGTCGGTCGACTGCTCGTCATCATCGTCGTCGACGACGACTCGCTGTCATCAGGCCCCGCGCCGCCCCCCTGTCTCCCCCATCACCCTCCCGGTCCCCGTCCTGACGCCCCCCTCTCGGTCCCCCTTCCTGCACACCCTCCCTCTTCAAACCGCCCACCACACCACACCACACGCAGCCTAAGCTACCCCGTGTGTGTGAGAGAGAGGGAGCGGCAGGCCCGTCGTGTCGGCCTCGGAACGCACGAACGCACGCACGCAACACAACGCACAGGCACTCAGGCACGCGGAGCGGCAGTCTGCAACAACAGGCAGGCAGGCAGGCTGGCGACTGGGCCTCCTTTACTCTGCTCTGCTCTGCCTTTTCCCTTGTTCTGTTGCCGTTCGTTCACCGTCTGTCTGTCCCTCGTCTGGTTCGTGGCCTACCGCAGGCCGGTTGGTTGGCTCCCGGCTGCTCCAACGCATCAAGCGTTTTGCTTTTCTCCCTCTCTTTCTCTCTTTTCCTCTCTTCCTCTCTTTCTCGTGCTCGGGGGAAGGGGGAAAAAAAAACACGTTGGCTGGCTGGCACGCCTTCAATCAATCCCTCCTCTTGTCCTCCTCTCCTCGCCGCGCATCTTCCCACTCTCTCGTTCATCCGTCCCCTTTCTGTTCCTCTTCCTCCTCCTCCTTCGTGCCCTCCCTGTCCTCATTTCCCTGCTCTCTCTCTCTTCCCGCGCGCGTGGGTGTGCGTGGGTGTGTGCTTCTTTTCTTTCCCGCGCTTGGTTGTATGCGTGCATACATTCATTCAATTTCAATTCAAAGCTCAGGAACGCGGGAACGGGTTCCCGCCCTTCGCTGCGAGGTGTGTGGTGGATGAGCTGCTTCGACTCCTTTTTGGGGGACTGACGGCTGCAAGCGGAAACGTCGAGGGCGGCAGGTCGGCGTGCTATAGCGCACCACGACAACAACCACCACTAACTGGGGCCTGCCCGCCGCATTCAGATGTCCAGCATCTCATTCTCCTCCCTTGTGCGGCCCGCAGAAACATTGGCTCCTCGACGACTGCGACTACCGAAGACGAAATTTTAATTGCCCCTTGTTGCACGTCGACGATTTTCTCCGCTTCTCCCTCTTCTGAGTCGAATATAAGTGCTGCGCCGAGGGAAAAAGCCTGAGCCTGAGCTGCGCTGAGCAGAGGAACCCATCGTGCTGCTGCTGTTGCTGCCACTGGAGGGCACTTACACGCTCTGCCGCCGCTAGCGACGCCCGACTTACACCATCGCACCGACTCGCTGTGCTGCTACGACTACCGACGACGATCCGCTGCCACCGCAAGCGCAACGAGTTCCCAAAGCAAAAATGGCACTGGGAGAGAGGGCAATGGAGAGGCTGCGGGCTGACTTGCTGAGCCGTGCCCGCAGAGATCGCCAGGACGCAGGGCAAGAGATGACCGAGGCGGGCGAGGCCACACGGGCGCGAGCCGGGAGCGAGGGCCAGAGATCACGGAGCCATCTCCCCAGGTTAAACACCCTCCGAGTCTTTGGCCGCGGCCACGGCGGCAGCGAGACGCCCAAGTCACCCGAGCCCGAGTCGAACCCGACCATGCCCCTCTACAACTACGACGCCGCTGGGCCAAGTCCGCAACCTCATCCCCTCCCATCTCCCACCTCGGCGGCGCCTCTCCTCCCGCAGAGCCGCATGCCGCTCCCGCCAGAGCCCGTGGCGACCAGCCCGAACGCAAGGAGCCAGCGAAGCCCGACTCCGCCGATCCAGATGACGGGCGCGTTCCCCGTCCCCGACTCGACGACCTACGGCCCCACGGATACGGCCAGCGGCGGAAGCCCGGCCCGCGGGGCGGACACGTCCGACGATGACGACGAGAGCGGGAGACCGCACCCGAAGCGGTTCCTCTTTTGCTTCCCGTGGGTCAAGTCCAGGAGGATGCGGTCCCAGATCCTGACTTGCTTCGTCTCGGGCATGTTTCTTCTCATGCTCCTGGCAATCTGTGCGTCCCGAGCCCCTCGCGCTTGCGCAAACATACGCTTGTACATGCGACTAACATGCTGAGGCAGACCTGGGACTCACCCTCACCAAAAACATCCGCCAGGGCGAGCTGACCATCATGATAATCCTCGTGATCCTGACGGCCGCCGCCTTCTTCGCCTATAGCTTCGTGCGGCTGCTGCTGCTCGTGTTCCAGCCGGACCGCAAGAACAGGCGCCGCCGCCGAGGCCAGGTGCCGGATCTCATGGCCCAAGGCGGCTACGTGGTCCCGCCAAAACCCATCCCGGTCCTGCTGGCTCGGGACGAAGAAGTGGCGGGAGCCCAGAGCGAGGCGTCCAAGTTGAAACCGCCGGCGTATGGCCTGTGGAGAGAGAGCGTGGTAAGTCATGACGAGACACCAACCACCTCATTTATAAAAGGCATCGAGGCTGACGAGATGGACAGCGCGTGGACCCGGACCGCCTATTCTGGCAACGCAATGCTGATGCGAATCCAAATTCCGGGCGCCCTGAGACACGGAGCGGTCCGCGGCCGCCGTCATATGCTTCTGATGACGGCGTGTCCTACATGATGGACGTGCGACCGCGGTCTATAGCTCCTCCACCGAGCAGCTCATCGATCTATTCGTCCGACTTTGTTCGATCCGCAACAGCGAGCCAGACGCACGTCGAGAACTGGCCGGGAGCGCCTCGTCGATGAATGGCTGTGCCGTGGGGGGAAATATTGGGTCGAGGCTCGAACGGGAAGAAGGCGAGCGAGGAGCGGAGTAAGGCATCTTTTTATAAGCGAAGCACACAAGCATTGGTCGATTGAGGCGTGTCGGACAAACGTGTACAGGAAAGTCTCGGGTTCGGTGACGAGCGCGCAGTAGGTAGATGATGGCTGGGCTGAAACGTAAATAGCGTGTCTGGCCACGGATGAGTCAACAAGAAGCCGACGGTCACCGGGAGCTGGCGTCTGTTGTTCCTCTAATTCGTGGTGATTTGTCGGGATGATGCGGGCAGCTCGAGACTTGGACGCTCGACGAGTGGTGCTGTGCCGAAGCTGTGAGTTGTGAATGACGCCTCCGCCTCCGCCGTGACAGCGTGAAGGAGGCCGAATCTGGATGTTGGTGAGCAGCTCACCATGAAAGAGAATGGCACGTGGCTGGGCGAGCCGAGGAGGAGGACCAGCGCCCGCGCATCGACTGCGAGGCACCAGATGGGTTCCAGGTTAGTGGTGTACATATCCCCACGCCTGGCGATGGACCGAGGATACCACCGGGGTACCCGTCTGCCCCGCTGAGAGCACGCTTGAACAAGAGCCTCAGGCGGGGCCGGTCCTCGTATACCCAAGGTACCTACCTTGAAGCTGATTGGTGGACGCTTTGGCGAGGAGGTATCGGCGCGTCATCTCGCCGGCTTACACCCACGGCGACGATTTTGACAGGCACAGCTGAATTGAGCAGGCGAGTGAATGTGTTGGAATGCTGGCGAATAGGTCGTGGCTAGCGGTGGTGATGGCGACGGCAGCAGCTGCACGGCGACGGCGCCCGGGCCACTTTACTTTGGCCGTACGGAAGCAACCCAGTAGTATGTATTATGTATGGCCGGATGACTGCGGCTCTGGAAAGGAGAGGCTGGTTGGAGAGTAGAGGACGACACGGGGGTGGGCGGTGGCGTCGGGTCCCTTTTTACAGGTTGGAAAAGCGCACGATGAGGCAGGCGTTGCCCGTCTTCCAGGTGGTGGTGTCGGTGGTGTCCAGTGTTTTCCAGGGCAGGGCCTACTAGGTACCTAGGTAAGGTAGGCGCAGGTGGTGTCCGGTGGCGTCTGGTGGTGTCTGGCTGCGTTGATCCAGTGCCCGCCCAGGTGTCCACTCGGGCGCTGAGGACACTCGAGGTGCGCTGCAGCGTCGCTCCACACAATTCCAGGTTTCGAGCCTCGCCGCCCGCCCCCAGCAAATGTCCGCCTGGCGCCCCCCCTTCCCGTGCGTGTACCTAGTGGGCGCCAGGCGCAAACGCGCACCAAGTTCCACGTTCCCCCGCCCGCTCCCCCTCCACTCCCTGAATTTGCCGCTGCTCGCCCGCGAGACTAATATTCCTCGCGCCGCCGCGCAAATTTTTCCTCAACCTCAACCTCTCCATCGAGACGTCAGAGAAAACCTACCCTTGCTTCAAGAGTCGACGAGGCGGCGTGTGACATCACGACCTGTTACGACTACACGACCAATCATTCAATTCTTGCTTATAAGTACGCTGTACCCTCCGGTCCGCATTCTACGAATTCCCCCAAGGTACGTTTCTTTGCTTGAAAGTGTTTCGTAGCCGCTTCTCGGCTATCTGTCCGCCATCGCGCCCCCCAGACGTCCTCGGCGTTTATGTGAGTCCTGGTCTCTACAAAGGAGGCGGGCCCTTAGCCTTGGTACCTGTCTGCTGCCGTTGGACTCTATCGTTGGACACTTGGCGCCGGGATTTCGCGGCGTCTGCGCCACCGACTCAACCTTTCCATGCGGCCGCGCGATCTCGACGATATGACGCTTTTCGACGCACGCTCGACGTTGCGTATCCGCCGTCGTCCCGATGCTGTGCATTGGTGGCGCGCCGGGAGCGCTCGTAATGACGTGGGCAGGCCCGGCTGGCTGGTCGGGTGAGCGAGCGTCTTGGACACGGTTACCTCTAGCCGGACTGGCGCGACCGGACTTTGGAGGCGTCGCAAAGACGCGCGAGTTGAGCTTGCGAGTCGGCACACCCGGGCCCGGTCAGCGGGCCTGCCAGTCTTTTATCGTCATACGTTCGCCGAGATATGCGCTGCCCCGGATGTTTTGACGCCGCCGCGCCCCCCCTGCCCGAGCTCCTTCCAGAAGAACGCACCGAACGTCGCACAGCATGCGCCCGATCACGCGGACACCTCCCCCGACAACCTTTGCCGAAATACATCACCATACATGTCCCTCGAGGCGCGGCGGCAGCCAATGCTAAGGTGGCACCAGCCAGGCGGACGCTTGGTGGCCTTTGGTGCGAACACTGCCACCCAGGCAGACTTCGCCCCATGGATTCTGGAAGACGGCGCGCTCACGGTAGACCAAGGACTCAGACAGCTAAGAAACCCAGCTTTTGTGAATGAGTTTGCTGACTGGGCGTCGCTGCAGGGATCCCCCAAGCAACCATGTCCTCCCTCTCCCGACGCGCCTGCTACAAATGTGGCAATGTTGGCCACTACGCCGAGGTCTGCTCCTCGGCTGAGCGCCTCTGCTACAACTGCAAGCAGCCCGGCCACGAGTCCAACGGCTGCCCGCTGCCGCGCACGACCGAGGCTAAGCAGTGCTACCACTGCCAGGGCCTGGGCCACGTCCAGGCCGACTGCCCGACCCTGCGCCTGAGCGGAAACGCCACCAGCGGTCGCTGCTACAACTGCGGCCAGCCCGGCCACCTTGCCGTACGTTAACTCGAACTCTGCGCCGCGATGACGCAAAGAAGCTGCAGAAACTGACCTCGCTCTTTCAGCGCGCCTGCCCCAACCCCGTCGGCCCCATGGGCCGCGGCGCCCCCATGGGCCGTGGCGGATACGCTGGCTTCCCCGGCCGCGGTGGCTTCGCTGGCGGTCCCCGTCCCGCTACTTGCTACAAGTGCGGCGGACCCAACCACTTTGCGCGCGACTGCCAGGCGCAGGCCATGAAGTGCTACGCTTGCGGCAAGCTGGGCCACATCTCGCGCGACTGCACGGCCCCCAACGGCGGCCCCCTCAACACCGTTGGCAAGACGTGCTACCAGTGCGGCGAGGCCGGCCACATCTCCCGCGACTGCCCGCAGAAGAACGCCCCCGGCGAGATCAACCCGGCCGAGGTCGACCTGTCTAACGTTGCTGCTGCTCCGGTGGCTCCCATTGCCCCCGTGGCATAAACACCCCATATGTCAGCGACGAGCGTCTGTCCTCTCTGCACCCTCCCGCTGCCACTAGCCGTCTTGGTTCGGCGGCGGGGGTCCCGGACGGGCAGACTACCCTCGAGGCCGTCGTCGCTTTGTGCGAGGGCGGCTTCGGGGATGCCTTTTCTTACGCCGCTTTTATTTCTTCTATGCAACGACCTTTTTATTTTTATCTGGCGCCAACGGTTTCTACATTTGTTGGGCGCCTCTCACCGACTAGTTTCATGGAGTACGGCCTCTATATTTTCAACGTGGCCTCACGAACGACTTACCAAAAAAATATGCTTAACTTGGCGTCTCCGGTCATCTCACAACTCTTATTCTCTTTATTCCTCTCTTTGGGATCCTCCACTGTTTCGGAAACGACCACGAAACAGTCATGACGGCGGAGAGAGTTTACTTTTCTCTTGACCCGGATAGATCCGTGACGATGCAGGATGGGTGTGTGGCAGGGTGACGACGTGGACCAGGATCTCCACACCGTCTGCCCCCTGCCCATGGTCCCGCCACGGTACCAACCCTCTGGGCGGGAACGTGGCGGCGACAGGGGACCCCCTCCCATCGGCGAGATGACTTTGGGTCATCCGGGAATCCCAATGGAAACGACCGACAGACACTGTCACGTGGCTCTTCTTGACGACTAAAGACTTAAATGGCACCGGCGATGGATATACCCCGCGAGGCTGAGTGTTGAATGTTGTTGTGTCGAGCTGGGAGCGGCGCGCCCGAGACCCGAACGGGGGGAACCCAGCCGGCGCGTCGCAGTACGCGCGCAGGACAGGGCCCCCGCGAGGGCGGTTCGAGCAGTTGTTGAGTTGCAGCCGAGTCGGGCGCGCGCGCATACGGCGGTGGATGCGAGGACGTTTTTTCTTGAGCGCTGGAAGGCAAAAAAAAAACAAGAAGAAGTTGGAGAGAGGATGGAGCTTTTGGACGGAGAAGCCCAACTCGACCTCAGGCTGTTGACGACGGAAACGGAAACAAAGGAAAGAAGCTGTTAAAAAAATACGAAAAGAGACGGGCGTGCTCGCGAGGTGCCGTGGGCCGCTCCTCTCCAGGAGTGACGCCAGCGCCCTGGCGACGCTCCCGTTGCGCTACAAGTGGATGGCTAGGGGACGGCAGTAAGGGAAGTGTGCGAAAGAGACAAGACAGACGCGGGAAAGAACGAAATGCAGGACTGGGACTCAAAGAGCTGTACATATGCTTTGGGACCGGACAATGTCTTTGTGTGAGTTGCGCGCGTGCAGGAAACAAAATCTCATATCATGAGCACATGAGCGAGACGAGAAGGCGGTGATGTGTGGCGGGGCTCACAGTGAGAGCGAGTGAGGCGACGACGATGTGCGCGCGACGGACAGGCTGGGTTGCCTGTCGCGTTGGAGAGACGGTCGCAGCCTGGAGGAGGATACGGGGGCAATATCGAGTTCAAGTTTCTTCCCTCTCAACGTCAAATTTGCGACTCGCGCCGTGCGTGACCCCAGGTAGGCAAACCTGCGTACTAACGACAGAATGTTGATCAACGGGCTGAAGCACCCTGCTCGTCGTCCTCCAGGTCCCACGATGCGGATCTGCGAGACACAGCCATCCCGTCCTATCATCCCCCAACCCCACAGCAGCCGCTCCACCACCGCTTTGGCGTAGGGCTGACTGCCCGTGCTCTACGTACTTCCGTTGACGCCTACGTTAATATGCCACCGGTCCAGGGCTGCTGCCCATCAGAGCATGAGGCAAGCGGAAACATGTGCTGCAGCCGCCGCGGCACGATGATCGATAGTGTGAGTCAACGCAGACGCGGGCTGGTAAATACGTAGGTAGGTCCCGTGCCACGTTGGCCTGCGAGCCTCGACGGCGATGACAAAACGAGATTGTGCTTGGTCAAACAGGGCAGCACGAGTTGCAGTTGTCCGCCTTGCTGGACGCCCATACGCCCTCTAATAAACCCCCCTGTCCGACGCCAAGTCAGCCGCACGACACGGCCTGCTGCTGCTGCTGCACCCAGTCGCACCATTCGCCAGCCCAGCCGTCCGCCTCGCTCGCGCGCCAGTCGTCGCCGGCGGTGGTCCCCATCGCAGTGGTGCCTCCCTGGCGGGAAGGTCGCGGCTCCGTCACCACACGCCCGTCGTCGGCCTGGCCCCCCTGGCGCGCGAACGACACCACCACCACCACCAGTCCACCAGCACCGCCAAAGGCGCGAGCATGTCTGCAGGCCGTCAGCACTTAGGCAGCAGCCCGCGCCCGACTGCCCGTTGCCTTGCAGGCTTTTGCAGAGCCGGTGCATGCTCTGACGAGTGAGTGGGTTCGGTCGCCGTCGGCCCCCATGGAGAAAGAAAGATGAGGCTCTCCGACGTTTGGCACGCGCAGGGGTAGGTTTGTGCCGGGTTGTTTCGTTGGCGATGCGGCTAAATTCGCGGCCGGCCGTGGAGATACAAAAAGGCAGCCGGCTGGCGTTGGACGCGATCGCGGGGCGAGAGCCGGTGCGGCGCACCGTTGACGAACTGCTGTTGCCCTGCTCTTTCTTCCGTTCTATCGTTTGGATGTCACCGACGAGCGTCTGGGTTCTGTAATTGGGTTGATCACGCATTGAGCTTCGAGTGCAGCTGACGACACCGGCGAAGACGACGACGCTCCATCTTCATCTGGCAGCTCCAGCAGGGAAGGAGCCGGCCGGGAAGCGCCCTGCCGCGAGCACGTTTGACGCAAACAAGACCGCTCTCACTTGTCTGAAGGAAGGAGGCCGTGGTTCATAGCAGAGCATCGTTCCTTCCGCCCCATCGACATACCGCCAACATGTCTGCCATTCTTGGGCCTCGCATCGGCCGGCGGCGACGCTCTCGCTCACCTCCCCCAAGGTCGGTCTCCATCATCAGCCGCTCGGCATCCATCTCGCCGCCGCCCTTTGGCCGCCGCGGCTCCAGGCGGATCGTGCCCATCAGGATGGCTCCTCCGCCCTCGCCGCCGCCGTCGACGCGGCCCCAGAAGAAGCAGCAGGCGCCGCAAGAGGCCATTGACGAGTTCTGGACCAAGTTCACCACCAAGACGCCCGGCAAGGGTGAGTTTTGAGCGCGTGTTACGGCCGCCTATGGAGAAGACTGAAGAACTGACGGTGTACGCAGCGACGAGGGTGATCCCCCAGAATCGGTTCGTCGACAGGGTGACCAAGAAGAGTGCCGAGGGCACCACCGCGGACGGCACCTCGACGTCGGCGACTGCGTCTTCGTCGGCCTCTGGGTCTAACAGGACCACGACCCAGACCAGCTTCGACGACGCCGCGGCTATGTGCCGCGCCAAGGTGGCCAAGATCGTCAAGGAGTGCCGCCGCGTCAACAAAAAGTACCGCGACCCGCACTTCGACCTCGAGTCGGACCTCAAGCTCGGCCGCCGCGACACCCTCGAGTCGCTCGGCAACATCCGCGGCGCCCGCAAGCCCCCCGGCAGCGACTTTTGCCCCCGCAGCGCCAAGCGCGTCACCGAGATCTTCGACAAGCCGCAGTTCTACATCGAGGGGCCGACCGCAAACGACGTGAGGCAGGGCCGCGACGGCGACTGCTGGCTCATGTCGGCGCTGTGCACCCTGAGCAACAAGAAGGGCCTGATTGAGAGGCTCTGCGTGGCGCACGACCAGGCCGTCGGCGTGTACGGCTTCGTCTTCCATCGCGATGGGGAGTGGATATCGGAGATTGTGGATGACTTTGTAAGTCGCTTGACGCCCTCGCCCCTTGCGCTGAGAGCGGCACATGCTGAACAAGACAGCTCTACCTCACAAAGTCCGACTACGACGAGAGCTACACCGACAGGATCCTCTTCGACGAGTGCGAGCGCGTCAACCCCGAGGAGGCGTACCGCAGAATCTACCAGTCTAACAGTGGCTCCCTGTACTTTGCCCAGTGCGAGCATCCTCAGGAGACTTGGCTTCCGCTCCTAGAAAAGTGCTACGCAAAGGCCCATGGCGACTACGCTGCCATCGAGGGAGGATTCGGAGGCGAGGGAATCGAGGATCTGACCGGCGGTGTCACTTCGGAAATCTTTACCACCGACATTCTCGACAAGGTGGGCTGCCAGTTTTGAGTTCAGGCCGCTCATAGCACTGACAAGAGGCACAGGAGCAATTTTGGAGCGAGCTTCTCAGGGTCAACCAAGAGTTCCTATTTGGCTGCAGCACCGGGGTGTGGGGAGAGTCGACCTGGGGCGAGCGCAAGGGCATCATGGAACGTCACTCGTACTCTGTCCAGCGAGCCGTCGAGATTGACGGGAAGCGCCTTGTCCGCCTCAAGAACCCATGGGGCAAGGGCGAATGGAAGGGTCCTTGGAGTCAGTCGCCCGTTCGCGCAGAGCTAAAGACCATGCTAACTATGTTGTAGGCGATGGATCCAAGGAATGGACTCCTGAATGGCTTGAGAAGCTCGGGCATCGCTTCGGTGACGATGGAGATTTCTGGATAGCATACGAAGACCTCCTGCGCAAGTACCAAGCCTTTGAGCGGACTCGGCTGTTTGGCGAGGAATGGAGCGTTACCCAGATCTGGACCACACTCAACGTGCCGTGGATGGTAAACTACCACGATACCTACTTTTCACTGTCCATATCGAAGCCTGGCCCTGTTGTCCTGGTCCTGTCCCAGCTTGATGACCGATATTTCCGTGGATTAGAAGGGCAATACCGCTTCGAGCTGGGCTTTAGGCTCCACAAGACTGGCCACGAGGACTATATTGTGCGCAGCCAGACACCCTACCGCATGCGCCGCTCCGTCAATGTCGAGCTGGATCTGGAGGCCGGCGACTACGATGTCCGTATCAAGATCGACGCAACCCGCTACGAGGATCTGTTGCCCATTGAGCGAGTCGTTCGCGACAACGCCAAAGACTGCCGGGAGAAGCTCACCCGTATTGGACTCGCCTACGACCTGGCGCACGGCAAGGGAAAGGTTCTCGAGACGCCCGAGGAAAAGGCCTCACGCAAAGCTCACGAGAAGAAGCAAAAGGAAAAGGTGCGACAGAAGATCAAGAAAGACATACAGAAGAGCCGGGAGGAGCAGCATTACCTCAAGAAGAAGCAGTACGAGCGGGATGTCGAGAGGCAGAAAAAGGCGCAGAAGCAGCGCAAGGCCAAGATGGCGGAAATGAACGCCAAGAGGCGCGATGCCGGCATGGATCCAAGGGCCGGGCCGCCGAATGTTATGCCCCGGCAGGGCATGAACGGCAGAGGGCGAGGTCGACGGGGTGGTTGGAGCCCTGGTCCCTTTGTCAACGAGACGTCTGCCGAGCCAACGCCAGATGGCACTGTAACGCCTGCGAACGAGGAGACGAAGCAGGCCCTACCTCCTGCAGATGATGCGGCGAAGTCGGCGAAGGAGGTCCAGCCGGTCGAGGCACCGAAGCAGGAAGCGACCAACCCACCACCTCAACCAGCGCATGAGCCGCATCTAGTTCAGGAACCGATGCAAGAAGCACCTCATCAGCAACATCAACCAGTGCAAGCGCCGCATCTTGGTCAGGGGCCGACGCAGGAAGCTCTCCATCCACAGCATCAGCCTGGGCCGACGCAGGAAGCGCCCCATCCTCAGCATCAACCAGCATATGGGCCGCGCCTGGCTCAGGGGCCGACGCAGGATGCATCCCGGCCAAGGCAGCAGCTGGTACATCGGCCGCAGCTGGCTCAGGGGCCGAGGCAGAATGTACCGCCGCAAAGAACTGCTGCGCGTCGGATCAATGAGCCACGGTCAGTCTCGCGTCCGAACGAAGGAATGGTGAGAGACGGTAGGGCGAGGCAGCTCGCTCCACCCCGTATGGACAGCGAATGCGAGTTCTACGAGGGCCCGTTCGACGAAGAAGACTGCGAGTCGGAGAGCGATCCTTGCTTCGACGACTTCGACTCACTCTCGGAGCTGTCTGAGCGGGAACTTGACCTCCAAGTCGATAACATCCGACGCATGGAAAACAGTCGCCCTCCGCCTCCTCCACGTGAGGGCCAACCTCCCGAGGAGGAACCCGACGAGTTTGAGCGCGACCCCTGGAACGCGGTTGCCGTTGTAGGTCTACGTGTGTACCACAAGTCGGAGTCGACCCTGTCGAGCTCCGAAGTGCCTGTCGAAGCGGGTGACGATACACCTGCTCAAGGCGAGAGTACAGATGTTCAAGCCAAGGACACGCCTGCCCAGGAAGACATCGTCAAGCTCAAGGTTGTGCGCCCGAACCCGTACGCCACGAGGGACGAGATCGACGAGGAGGAGAAGAAGAGCAAGGAACTGGACGTGGACGACAGCGCCAAGGATGCGACCCTCGTGGGCGGCGTGACGGATCGCAAGAAGAGCATTATGGGTAACAACCGGAAGTCCTCGTGATGGGCTCGCAGACCCCTTTGCGATGGGTTCGAGGCTCAGACTTCCCTCGACTGCTGGCAGCACCACCACGGCCTTCGATATTGCGGACCGACGACAACGAGGATTGCACGACAAGATTGGCTTAATGACGGCAAGATTGTTTAGATGCGACATACGACGCCACGGCCTGACGAGACTTGTTTGTTTCTGGGCGGATTTTGTCCCGCGCGCGACGGAATGGAACGAGATTGGATTTGCGCGCTGGATGGGGGCCTGACTTTGGGGACCCTATGTATGATGTACCGCTCTTACGGCCTCACCCTCACACCCTGTCTGTTGCCCTTTGTTCGTTTTCTTCTCTAGTGGACGCAATGAATGCGTCATGAGATTACGACCTGAGAATATGATCACCTACACGACCTGAAGATGCACAAGAATGTCTCTTGTCATGATGACGCTGTAGACCATGGCTGTCATGATTGCAGAGGTGTGAATCACCTGCACCAGCTCGAAGAGAGTTTCTGTGAAAAGATTGTGGTATATTGTGATCATTGCGCAAATGCAGCCACCCATGTCCCGGAACACGACTCTCGCGTGGCTAGCTACACCACTGCGCAGAGCCATGCCCAGTTGCTCAAGTGAAACTCCGGCCGTCGCTGACAGGACAGCAGTAGAAAATATCGAAACACGTCCAACATCAATGCAGATGCCCGGTCGAGGCCGGACAAAGAGGTATCCAGAATTGCATCCATCCTAAAAACGCCTGTGACCCCAAGACAAAAGCCCCGTGCCACATACTTGACCGAGGCCGCACGCATTGCGTTGCTGACCTTTCGCCGCCTAGGGCGAGGCGTCCTTCTCGTGGTGAGTGGCACCCCCGTCGGGCAGTGTGCTCGACACGCCCTTGAGGCCATCCTCGGGGTGCTCGGCGCCCTGGTGGGCGATGCTCTGGCGGTGGACCCAGGTGTCCTTGGGGCGCCAGTGGGGCGACTTGCGCGCCGACGAGACCTCCGTGTACAAGAGGTCAATCTCCTCGAGGGTGAGGCCCTTTGTCTCGTAGATGAAGAAGATGACAAAGGCAATGCAGATGAAGCAGCAGCCGAACCAGATGAAGAAGATCTTGGACTGGAGGTTGGCAAAGCCCGGGCCGTAGTTGACGAGGTACGGGGTAGAATAGGCAATGGCCCAGTTGAAGAGCCAGTTGGTGGCCGTCGTCATGCTGAGCGACTTGGCACGCGTCTTGAGCGGGAAGATCTCGCCCGTGACGACCCAAGCCAGGGGTCCCCAGGTGGCGGCGAAGAAGAAGATGAAGATGCAAGAAAAGGCGACGGCCGCCTTCTGACCGGCAAGGTTGGTGACGGTGACGACGCCGTCGGCGGTCTGACCCGAGGACAGGGTGCCCGTCATGGCGACGATGAACTGAGAGACGCACATGCCCACAGCACCCCAGAGGAGCAGCGGCCGGCGACCCCACTTATCGATGGCATACAGGCCCGGGAGAGTCGAGGCGACATTGATGGCCGACGTGATCATCTGAATGACGAACCCGCTCGAGACACCCGAGTTCTGGAAGTACTTTGTGCCGTAGTAGAAGATGAAGTTGATACCAGTGAGCTGCTGTAGTGCCTGCAGGGCCATACCCGTGAACTGGCGCTTCAGGATCGGTGGCTTGAAGCAGGTGAGGTACGAGGCCGTCCCGATGCTCATCTCATACTCATGGTGGGCCTGGATCTCGTCATGCTCTGCCTGGATGGCAGGGTGGTCGGGCGGAAGGCGGCGGATGAAGCCGAGAGAAGCCTTGGCCTTTTCATGCTTGCCGCAGCGGATGAGGTAGCGCGGGGTCTCTGGCAGGAAAAGCAAGCCAACAAAGAGAATTAGAGACCAGGCGAACTGAACGGCAATGGGAATGCGGTAGCTGCCCGAGTCGTTTCGGTTGGCCGTAGCGTTGTTGACGACGGCGGCAAGCAGAAGACCAATGGTAATGGCCAGCTGGTAAGCACCGACGATGGCCCCGCGGAGCCACTTGGGCGCTGTCTCGGACTGATAGAGAGGAACTGTTGCGGGGTGTCAGACAGGATTACCGGGCGTATGCACGGATGTCACTTACTCAGAGCAGAGATGAGGCCGACACCAAATCCGGCAAAGAATCGTCCTGCGAGGAACATGGGGATCGCCGTGGAGGCGGTCTGCAGCGCGACACCAAGGTTAAAGACCCAAGTCGACAGCATCAAGGCCCAGCGTCGACCAATGTAGTCACCCATGAAAGGCGAGAAGAGGGCGCCAAAGAAGGTGCCCGCGGAGAGAATGGAGACAATAGCCGACTCCTGGCTCGTTGTGATGTCAAGATGACCCTTGGGGTTGACATATCCGGTGCTGAAAGTGTCTTGCCAGTAGGGCATGGCAATGATGCCGCTGATGGTTCCTGTGTCATATCTGCACGCCGTCAGAATGAACGCCTTGAGTGTATTGTAAGTTGAGGGCGCAGACGAACCCAAACAGAACGCCGCCAAAGGCGACGAAGAAGCCGATGACCACACCGGGCCAGGTCTTGCCGACCTCGCCCTCGGGCTTGGTAATGGAAGCCCTGCGAATGAAGCCCATCGCTGCGGCTGTTGCCCTTTGGGTAGGGCTAGAGACGATAGTAGGAGTTTTGTGTAACCTGGCCGGTGAGACCGTCGAGGCCGAAAGGATTGCTTAAGTAGGGCAAGGGACGAGGCGAGATGTCTCGCAAGGGCGATCAGCAATAACACGGGGTGGAGTCGACCCTGGCGTGGAGGTCCGTGTCAGGAGAAGGACGTGACAAGCAGATCAGGGGGAGGGGCCGCGAGCTTTATGACGAAAACCGCTTGGCCGTGGTGCCACTGACGACGCGGTACGAGCATGGGCGTTTCGTGCGTCTGGACCAGGACTGACTGACTACCTTACCTGCTACGGACGTGATGTGCAAGTGCGAGCTCCGTGTCGTGGCGGTCCCGAACTCTGTGGAGAACCAGGGGACGGGAGCTTGTGGAGGACTGCATACAGGCACTTACTACATGCAGGCTGGGGGGCTTTGTGGCGGGACGATCGAGCGGAGCCGTGTGGGTGCGAGGCAGCATGTCTGGAGGCAGCATGGCATCGTCTGCCAACGGTAGTCTTGGTGTGGTGTGGCGCGGGATGTGGAGAGATGGGCCGGCGCAATGGTTGAGCTCGGGCAGGCCGAGAAGAGGAAGCGCACGCTTTCGCGGAGACGAGGGGCCGGGTCGCGGGGTGAGCGGCGCGAAAGGGCCTCAACATGGCCCTGTTCGTTCTCCTGGGAGATAAGGATCCGCGAACATGATTGCTGGAGGCGGCAGCCAAGGGCGCACGCGTCCAGACGGTGAGTGATGATATGAGGACGCGGTGGCTGCTCGCGGGCGGCTTGAGGCTGGGAACAGCATCATGCTGGCCTCATCGGGGACATGTCCGCAGGCTCGAGTCGACGGTTGCAATGTATTGGGTGGCGTCAAGAGTAGGAAAGGGCCGACATGGGCGCAGGTCCTGTCTGTCCTACACGGCTAGCCGGCGGCGCCTGGTGGTCTGATGGCACCGCTGGAGCGAACGTGTTTGAGCGCGGGCTTGACCTTGTTTCGACACCCACACATGCCAGGCGAGCCACTGTGGAGATGACGACGTTCTGATGGAGTTGGCGGCAGGATTCCCGTGGCCGGCAAGCGTGCGATGCAAGCCACTGGCGTGCCGAATGGCGCCGCCCGGCAACGGTTGGCTGGACCTGGTCGCCAGCGCGCAGCCATGACAGCGCGGCTGAGCCGGGGGGCAAATCGACGGGCGCCGGAGGGATGGGTGTCGAGGTGCAAAGCTTGGGGCGCGAGGTGGAGGGTGCCGTCGAACAAGTCTGGTAGCAAGGCGTTGGCGGTTGAGGCGCGTGACTGATTGAGGGAGTGGGCAGGCGAATTGGTTGAGGAGCAAAACGAGGCAGAAGAGAAGGAAGATGGTGATGCAAGGTTTGGCGCCTGGCCGGCTTCAGGAAGGCGCGCTCGAGTGTGCACTTGCCAACTGGCCGGCTTCCCCATACGAAGTACATGGCACCATTCCTTCGCCCAAGGGAAGGTGTTGAGAGCAGCAGTAGCTCTGGGTGATTCCTTCCTGCTGGGTAGGCACGTTGGCCGGCACCTGCCATGGTGGTGCGCGCGACAGACAAGCAGTGGCTCGGTTCTTCCCTCCTTCCTCTTCAATGTCGAACAAAGCCTGTACGTACCGCTATGGGTCGTGGCTTCCTCCGCAACTCTGCCTGCCTGGGTACGGGTTCGATCGCTCCTGCAACGTCAAACCTGGCAGACGCATCCGCCTCCACCGCCTCTCAACATCACCAAGCCCTCGTCGTCACACAAACATCACCAGCCTTGCGCCGACATCACCGAGCTCGCCATCGCCTACGGAATACGAGTATCACAACACGCCCGGCTCCTCACAGCAGGCTGCCATCCGGATCCCGATCGCGCGGCAGCGCCAGGCGAGCCCCACACAGTCACACCCCGCTTGTCTGTGTAAGTGCCGGCAACCCCAGTGGCCCCCCGCAGGCAGTCCCCCAGACCCCCCTCCCAAGAGCCACCTACAGCTTGCCAGGCAAGCCTCGACAACGCCAATCGGAAACCGGCAGAACACGGCGCGCGCAAGGTTCGATTTCTGCCGGCCAGCCTCGCCAACCCGTGACCGCCACTGCCTGCCCGATGCCCAGCGACGGGCCTGCAACCCTGACCCAGAGTTAAACGCAAAGATAACGGAGTCCAGACCGATCTCGCGGACTCGCCTGCGCCGGCCGTGTGCCTGGTTGACCCTCAACCGTTGGTCGGGGCCCTTGAGAGGCTTCGTTCGTCTCGGCCGACGCGTCGCCTCGTCCACTCCAACGAACCATGCGTCCTAAACAGGCAATCAGGAAGGGGCATGGCAGGTCAAAGTCCAATATTGCATGCTGGGCGGCTGACGCCCAGCAGAAGCTTAATCGAACCAGCAGGTTGAACCGGCTCGGAGGCGCACCTCCGGGCCGACTTGCAGCATCGCGTCTCCCGTCTTCTGTCTCCCGTCTCGGGCGCGAAAGCGTCGCGGCCACGGCAGGGCCGAGTCCAGGTGCAGCATCGGCACCCTGACCCCGTCGCCAATGCCACCCGAGTCTGACCTGCATGCTTGGCTCTGCAGCGCCGTCCCTGAACCCGCAAGCCAGTGTGCCGTCCGCCAAGTCCACCCTTGCGTACTTGGGTAGTGGCAGTTCACGCGCCGCCCGCTCAAGCTGGGGGTCTGATGACGTCTGCGATTCGAGCACAACCCATCGTGGGCACACTGCGAATTTTTGCGACTAAGCGTAAGCCTTCCCGCGGCGGCTTCACGTTGACACAATGCTTCGTCGCTGTCAGCTTCTTGCTCGTCTGAGTATCATGGCACACGAATGACTCGGCAGCATGCTGTAGGTGCTGAAATCTGTTGATCGGCACAAATCTACCCGAACCCCCAAGCCACTGAGTCGTCGGCCCGACGCCTAAAACACCCCAAGTCGCCCACCATTACGCCTTCTGCACCAGGGCAGGCCACAAATCAATGCCACCTTTTGACTGCCGGGCGTTCGGCAGCGGCTCGGTCGCATTGTGGAACCGCCTGCCGGGAGAGGGCCTGCAGGACGGCACATTAGACTGTTAAGATTGCAGCAACAGCTCGGGCGCCCTCATTGATCGCAAGCGCTTGCGAGGGCGATCGACGTGCGTTCCCTCTGACCACCTCGCCACCTGTCCTGGGGCTAGCTTTCTGATGCGAAGTAACAACACCCAACTTGTCACACCGCGGTCCATCCGCGGAGACGACAACTCCAGAAACCCCGGCGCATCATCCACGTTGCCCTCAAACTCCCGACGAAACCAGAACTACGCATTCTACCGCGAGAGGCATTTGCCGCAGTCGAATGTTGATCGCGCTCAATTATGTCATTATCTTATTAACTTCACTTCATGCCCTAGAGCCAGCCGCGACTCGAACTCAGCCTCTTGTAGCTGTTCCCCTTTACCTCGACATAGTCTCTCGCGGTGCTGACGCCTTCACCCGCGTACTTTCCCCTCCATGGCTTCTCGTTGGCCTCTTCGAAGAAGTAATGGTTCGAGTTCTTGGCGTACTCTACTCGCCATGGCACAACAAGATCTCGCCGCTGCGGACCCCCGCCGCAGCTCCCCTTGAGCTGGGCGCTTGGCGGGCTGTTGATGGCCAGCGCAAAGAGGTTTTGCGGCTCGGTGTAGTCGGTGACTTGCTCCGCACGCAAGAGCACAAGCACGAGACAGCAGACGTTGATGATGAAGATGAGTACTAGCACGACGTAAAATATCCTCTGCCATGCGTTGATGTGGCCGGAAGTGTACTGCTGCGTTATGATGGAGCTGTGAAAGCTTTCCAGGGCGCCTGGTGCACCGAGTATGTTCTTTGCATAATCCCAATAGTGTCGAAACGGCGTGTCAATGGACGATATGACCAGCGTCGAGCTGCCATACACAGCCAGCGCCTCGGCCATGGATGGCTGATCAATCAGCAGCTTCGTGTCCTTTAGGGCGAGCTGCGTCAAGATGCGAGCTATGGAGGCGTTGCTGTAAGAAACGCCGCCGTTTAGAGCCATGGACAGCCCCCATTGCGTGGCGATCCACTGCGAAAGTCAGCCCGGCTTGTTCGGCAGAAACAGACGCCGAAACACGTACCTTCCAGTCAGTGGACCAAGACGGCCAGTCGCCTTTGAAGCTGGGGTCTTGCTCCGGCGTAAGGTGATATGCGTCGGGATCATTGACGTCCTCGCAGTGCGCCTGCATGCTGGCACCGGCCGTCCCTGAGATGTTGAAGTGGGTCGAACACGCCGGGGATACAAACGAACGCATCTCGCAGAGCGTATAGTTGGCCATGGCCGGGCTCTTGGCAAGAAGGTAGAACGCCATCGCGCCCGGGGCACTTGTCCAGTTGAAGACGGTGTTGTAGTCGCTTGGATACTACCACGGTATGTCAGCATGAGCCAGCAATGATGCCGCCGGCGCGCGCTACTTACTGCTTGGAAGACGGGCGGTATCCTGCTGTACTTGGGGCCCCAGCCAAAGATATCGTCGACAGCAGTGCGGTTGAGATAGTCAATCTGGCCATCTTGATTGTACCACGGCGGGACTTCCGTCTCCCACAGCTTGTATCCGATGTCTTGCTCTCCCACGTCCAGCAGCCGCGAGGTCTTGGCTGTCGGCCAGCTGACGTACACCAAGGGCTTGAGCTCGTCCTTGTCCATGTTGACGCACATGACGTTGAGCGCCGGGGACACGACGCCGGCACGGATGGCGTACTCGCCGACGCCGGCGAGATCGTCGGGCTGGAGGATGCCGTTGATGGGGTCCTGGGCAGCCGTGTACACGCCGGGATGGGGCATGGCGAGGGTGACGTTGTTGACGATGCGTCCGTACTTGACCCACTGGGCCGTGACGTTGCTGTGCTCCGTCTGGATCCACGACGACGACATGGTGGTGTTGTCATACAGCAGCGTCGTGCCGACGGGCCGCTGGCCGACCGTGGCGGCGCGGCTGGTGCCGTTGTTGCTGATGGCCGTCCAGTCGGTCATGAAGGACAGCAGGTTGCGGAACGACTGTCCCGAGAACTCGACGTTGAGGCACGACTCCTGCGCGCTGATGTCGGTGGCCGGGTCGAAGAGCGACGGGCACAGCTCCTTGACGTACACGGCGTTGGCATACGAGGAGCGCACGCGGCCCTGCATCTGCACCGTCTCCCACGAGCCGAACTTGAGCTTGGGCGCGACCATGGCGTCCGACGCGGTGGTGTAGAACATGGCGGCGATGGTGGCCGTCAGAGACAGCGCGCCGAGCACCGTCAGCCCCGCGTAGGGGATCGTCTCGAAGTGCGTGATGAGGTAGCCCGGCTGGATGACCCAGTTGCGCATCGTCATCTCGGCGAGCGTCACGCCCGTGGACCGCCGCGCGATGGCCCGCCGCGTGAGCACCTGCCCGACACACGAGATGAAGACGGTCACGAAGGACAGCTCGATGGTCTTGGCGACGAGCGCCGTCACGAGCGTCGCCGTCGACGGGATGACGCCCCCGCGCGAAGAGATCTTGTGGCCCCAGCGCGGCTGCACGAAGGCTACGACCATCCAGATGGCGGACATGACGGTCGAGTAGATGGACAGGGCGAGGATGATGACGGAGATCCAGCTGTTGCGATGTCCTGCCTCGACCAGCAGTACGTCGGCGGCTCAGCTGCGAAGAGGTCAGTGACTTGTCTCACCACTTACACGAGCAGCGCCAGTGAGCAGGAACGACATACCAAACTTCTTCTTGAACAGCTCGTCGTCGCAGCTGTCATCACCAGCGTCCGCCTCAACGTCGGCCAACGCCCCGGACGAAGCGTTGTGGTGCTTGTCGTTGCCGGATTTTAACGGAGGCTCATCATCTTCGAGTGGCTCCGGCGGCGGCTCCAAATGATTCTGTTGCAGCGCGTGCGCCTCCTGGAACACCGGTCGGCCTCTCGGAAGATTTGCGAGCTGCCTCTTCTTGGAGCGTCCAGGCACGAGTGCGTCTTTTATCCGGCCGAGAAACGGCGCCGTCCGGGATGCTTTGCCCTTGGGCGGGAGGGGCGGCGCGCTGCTCAGGGGCCAGCTGATGGTGTGGCCGCGAGCATTCACCGAACTGGCATCGCGGCGCGGCGGAGACGGCTGGTGGTCCATCAGGATGCTGCTGGTGCTGCGCGACGACGGCGACGAGCCCTTGGAGCCGACGGGCACGCGCATCGGCACGGAATTCCGCTTGTCATCGGGCGGTGTCTCTGCGTTGCCGTCTGCGTTGCCGCTCTGCTGCGGCGTCTCCTCCTGGTCTGCAATGTCCGCCTCGGTACCACCGTTTACCGGGGCCATGCCGCCGCCGCGGCTGCTCCGGCTGCCGCAGTCGGTCGACACCCTCCCTTCGGCGGCGACGTGCGAGGGAACGCGCTGGTACGTCTGGTACTGGACCTGGCGGTCGAGGCTGCCGACGTTGAAGGTCTCGACGGTGGGTGAGGCCGAGGAGAGTGGCGAGACGGCGTTTTCGTCAAACTCGGGGACGGCGGTGAGGGCCCGCGGCGGAGAGATGGAGAGGTTGTTGGCCATTTTGGCTGTTCTAGGTGATTTATTACACGAGAATCACCGCTGCCGTGGCAGGAGTTACCGCATCGCCAGTTTGTCGATACGACGACGGCTGTTCTGCTGCTTCACTCGTCGATGGCTGTTTCTCTCAGCCAGCTAGCGAATGACCGAGTTGCTGCCGGCTCCGTGTGTGTGAGGCAAACCGATCAACCTTCAATCCCCTGTCCCAAAGAGCGAGCGAAGTGTCAGTCAAGGCCGACGAAGCAGGGTGTGATCGGGAACGGCCCTAAAGACGCTGGAGGTCTCAAGATAGGACCGAGACAAGAGGGCTCCGTCGGGGTGTAAGTCTCTGCTGGGGTGGCTGGTGTGGTTTCAAGACGGAAACAAACGTACAAAGGAGGCCACGTGCCAACCGCACGACCCGCTTCGCGAGGGCGTCTCTTGCGCTCGGTTTGCTACGAGCTTCTATAGTCTGGTATGTCCCGGCCCGGTTGTCGGAGCTGTGGCTGTTGCGTGGACGTGCGGACAACCCGCGGCCCCCCTTGAACCACGACCACCGACGACACGGGGGCGGGAGTATGTTCAGTCGGCGATGTTCTTGCCGGAGGTATGGCCCCAGGGCACGCAACTCGAAACAGTATAGGCAGCCAAAGCAGATCAACGCTGCAGAGACACGGGGATTCTGCTATAGATGAACAGGAAATGAGAAGAGAGAGGGCATCGGCCGGTGAGAGGGCGGAGAACAACTGACAGGTACAGAGTACACACATGGGACGACAACAGCCACCAAAGCGGGCTACTACTACTACTGCAACGGGCGACATCCGTTGGGCGAAGGTGACGACATGGGCAGAGCTCCCTCGCTCGCTCTCTCGCCGGGCACGCACCCAGACACACAAGGTCCGTGGTTGCAGCCAACGTGCATGAGTTGGCCCTCGTGCAACGGGGCGGGTTATGTTTGTGGAAACCTCGATGAGCGGGGGCCTTTTGCCGCAGGCTGGGCGAGCGGGCGATCTGTGTGCACCCATGGGCAAGTGCTTCTCTCGCGAGTCTCGCCTATGTGCGTGCTCCCTGCGCTGGCGTTTCAAGACACGAAGAGCTGCCGACAGTACTGTACTGTACCGTACAGTATTGGCCACGGCAGCATTGACGCGCGAGAGCTCCAATACTGTAGTCTGTAACTGTACCGGCAACGGCTATGTTGCAGGGAAAAGCCCACCGGTGGCAGGACTCAAGAGGCAGGGAGGATTCTCTGTGGGCCGCCGTGTAAGCCCCAGCAGAACGAGAATAGAAGCCTGGGGAGGCTGTCCATGTGAGAGCTAACAGCCCCCCGGCACCCGCTTTCTCGATGGAGCCGTCCCCCGGCTCGTCCCTAGTCTTCGCGTAGTAACGGGTTTTCCTTTCCACTCGAGGTCAGCACATCGCGGGGGGCTATGATCCGTGCAGCCGATCCTGTAGAGGGGTCGGTCCCTGGAGGCTGGGTAGCCGGAACGCCTCCACCGGTGAGGCTCTATCGCCCGTCTCCAGTCAGCTCACACAGGTGACAGGAATAACACCAAAAAAAAAAAGAGTACCTATACACAGCCTCCTCCTCCTCCTCCTCCTCCTCCTCCTCCTTCGGCTCCTCCGCCTCCTTCCCCCCTCATCCACCCACCTGCAGCCGGGTTTGTCCAACCTCGCCAAGACCCAATGGTTGTCACAGCCTCGCCATGTGCGCGCCTTGCCGTGTGGTGTGGGATGAGTGAGAGCAGAGGGAGAGAGAGTTGTGGTGGTGCCCGGGCGCAGGGCTCGAGTCCCCAACACGCTGACCTGACCTGCTGCGCTTGGGTCTTGCTGAGTCTGTTCGACGACCAACTGCCTTGCACGATTGGCCCCTCGGGGACTTAGCCGCGGAAGAGACCGACGAACAGACGCCGAGCACAGGAAGAGAGAGAGGGCAGCAGCATTCCTCCTCCCCGGTTCTCAGCACGCGCAGCACAGCACAGCCGGGATGGCCAACAGCAGGCAGAGGAGGAGTGCCAGGCGGGGAAGGGGAGGCAAGGAGTTGAGAGGCGTCTGCAGCATCTCATTGGAGTGACCAAGATGTGGGCTCAATCTGAGCTTTGGGCAGAAACAGGGGTGCAGGGCCAACGCCCTCTCCCTCGTCTGTGCATGTTCATGTGGCTTTTGCCTTGCTTTTTCGCTTGCTCACTTGTGCGCCTGTACCTTCTGTCCGGAGGGATGTGTGTAGGGATGTGTTTGCCTGTGCATCTGTGTGTGTGTGTGTGTCTGTGTGCCTGTGCTTGGTGTGCCCTGTGCTTGTGCCACCAGGCACGCCCAGTTATTTTTGGGCCCCAAAACAAACATACATACATGATGGCCATTGCTGGTCGCGTCCATTTTGTTTCGTCAGTGTGGCTGTCGGCTGTTGCGTGCCGTCCGCCTAGACATGCGCGATAGCCGATGGGCTTCACTTCAAGCTCGGGCAGTCCGGCTCCCAGGTCCAAGAGTGCCAGGCGGCCCTTGGCTCGACACGATGCCCACCAGATGTCTCTTCATCCGAGTGCATCTCACACCGCTGGGGATTGCAAATGGCGCATCAATATGCAGAATGCGCGAAGAAAACGCACAGCGTGTGATTGGGGGCCGGTGGGCGCGGGGAAAGTCGCAATAAGGCGTTGATAATCTTCTTCTCTCTCTGGTGTTAGGGACAGGACACCGGTGTAAGTGCATGCATGACATGCGCGGTTGTGCCGTGTGGTGGTGGTGGTGCAGCAGCAGCGTTGCATCCGCGTCCAGCTCGCCTTCGACGAACAATGTGTACTTGGTAGTGCCAGCAGCGGCAGTGCAGTACGTAGCAACAGCCAACGAGCCAGCCAGCCTCCCGATGCAAGTTCGTGAGAGTTGATCCATTTCTCGCACATGGTGCCGTCGAGAAGGACCCATGAGGCTATTCCCAGCCCCCTTGCCTCACTGGGGCGTCCGCACAGACGAAAGCCTTGTGGCATGTGCACCACGGCGCATGGACTACTAGTTTCTATTTCACATCTACTCGGCATTTCCTGCGTATATCCTTACACTAGTTACAAACAAGCACTGCATGTATGTATGTATGTATGCTCGGGAGCAAACCCCGGCTTCCGCGTTACACTACTTGGCGTCCAGTGACAGCCCCAGCGCCCCGAGCACGACAAACACCATCGCCCCGGCGCCGAACCACGCCGCGGCAGCCTTCTCCTGCATGCCCGCCGCCACGACGACCGCGCAGCTCACCGCGTCCATCACGTCGACGGCCAGGTTCCCCCACAGCACACTGCGGAGCCCTCGCCGGGCTTCGGTCTCCTGCGGCAGGCCTTGGCGTCGCTGCTGGGCGTGTCGCCGGAACGCCGTCCACAGGAGCAGTCCCACGACGACCTCTCGAACGCCGAGGAGGCGCGGCAGCAGGACCGAAGACTGGATCCCGGCTGCTGTCGCGGGGTGATGGTGTGCCGTGCCGGTGTTGGGTGTTGTCGCTCCTTGCGTGCCCATCAGGAAGAAGAGGGACAGGAGGCGAGGAGGGGCGACCACGAGGGTCGCGCCGATGCAGGCCCGCAGCAGGGCGAGAGAGTTGATAACAAGAGGCCTAAAGGCCGACGCTCGGTCCGTCGTCACCATCATCGAGTTTGGTCGCTCGTTGATGAGCTTTGTTTGCTCGCCGATACGGGCGTGAATGTTCATGTTTCTAGTAGAATGATCCATATTTGCTGAAGAAAGTTAGATTGCAGCTGTCGACTACAATATTACAAAATATTTGAAGCGTTTTCAAAGACATTTTAACCACTTTGGTCGCCCAGTGAGTGACGGAGAAATGATGCTTAAGCATAACGCGCAGATCGGGGCTGGAGGTGAAGCCTTACAGGTTGGCATAACGCGGTCGGGGCGACCACGACCCGAGTATATGTCACCTCGATGCTGCTGCCTAGATTTGGGACCCGATGATCGTCTCTCCTCGGAATTTCACACAGTCTGGTGTCGCGAATGACTTCGTCGGGCTACGCGAAGGATGAGTTCTGCATTGTAAACTCGCCGGTGTCTTTGTTCCCGACTGATAGTGCGACAAAACAAGGAGTTAGTAGGACTATATTGCGGCGGAAGTGTGAGCAACTGCTTCATGTGTGTTGCGGCCAGTTGTGAATGATTCAAACCTGATAGACATAGCCTCATAACGTGGTCCGTACGAGTTTCATCAGGCAGTGACGTAGCCGAGCAACACACACACACGCGCGCGCTCGCGCGCGCTTGCTGGCGTCTAGGCAGACACGATCGGCCAAGGCCTCCTTGCCGTGCCGCGTCTTTACTTCAATTCTCCGAGTTGTCACAGCAGTTGCTTGATAATTTGGCATACCTCTTCAGTCTGCTCGGCAAGACAGTTCCACGCTCTCGTGCCGTTGGGAGTTTCAGTCGTGATATGGCTTACGAATTCCGCCGGCATCGTACCTCCGCAGACACCAGCGCTGTTCAGCGCCTCACCCAGACTCTGATTATTTTGTGCTACAGGCATTTCGTGATCGCTTCTGCAATACAATCTCTCGAGACTGATCTTGATGGTAGATGTGACGCATGAGACGACGGAACGCAGTTATGTAACTTCCTGCGCGATGATAGTCCGCTATTCACAGCAGGACGTTTGCGTTGGTTAAATAAACGACTCTTCTCGCTGCCCGGACATGACTCTGCCGCCTTTTTCCACCCTCATCGCCATCAAGCCACCATTGATCGAGCCGTCGCCGTGCTTGCTCTCTAGAGTCTCATTGCCTCCGAAATGAAGTACCAGCTCCTCCTCGCCGCCCTGGTCGCCTCTGCCACCGCCGAGCTCCCACCGCTAGAGAAGTGGAAATACACGGGGGTAAGTACCTACGCCGGCAAAGGCAAAAACCCGAGTCAATCTACTCCAAGCATTGCCATGATGCCAGCATAGTGAAGCTAACTTACTTTACGTCTGAGTAGAAATGCAAAGCAGACACCCAGACATGTCATCATCTCGTCAAGACGGACAAGGGGGGTTTGGAGGTAGACTGGACAAAGAAGATGGAGAAGCAAAGCTTGAACGAGTCCAAGGTAAGACTTCAATTTCGCACTGATGAGTTGAGGTGGTTCGCGATGCGTGGACTGCATCACTGGCGGGAGAAGATCAACTGACATTGGAATCTGGGACTGCAGTGTACGAGGACGGGAAATAAGTGTGAGTGGCCTGCGAGCCTCCCCCAGCCGTGGTGCATGTGAGCCACTTGGCCGGCAGCGCTCATGTAGGTTACCTGCACTGGTAGAGCAGACTGAATGTTTGTTTCTAATGCCAGGTCAGCCATCGGCGCCGTCGACCGAGACGCCCATCACATTGATCCCGCTGCAGTCGTCAGAGTCGTTTGACTTGTGTGCATCTCGCAGGGCACAGCATGAATGAGTTATGGCCCTGACGTGCGTAGATAGTGATCAGCAACAAGTCAATCGCGTCGTTCTAAAGCTGCGCTTGCGTGCATCGTGCGCGTCGTAAAGGCGCACGGCCCTTGCAGTGTCCCGTCTGGCGGGCGATGGCTTGGGTAATCATTATGCCTCGGTATGGCCTCTTGCCGCCCTTGACACTATATCGGGTTCAGCAGGTGTCTACGGCTGGGAACTTTGAAACCACGTAAAAACCTGCACTTAGTGCACCTTTTTAGGCGACAGGCTCTCATTTAAATCTGCGCTTGGCGCGTTCGTATCACCGAAAGCAAACTCCGCGCCCTTTCCTGTCCTTTTCTTTCCTTTGCACGTAATCGGCATATATTGAACCATGAGGACGTACACTTTCATCGTCTCGGCCCTTCTCTGCTGCTGCCATGTGGCAAAAGGAGTTTGGAAATGGGAGGGGGTACGTGAGACCAGTTCCTTCCAAGATCATACCAGACAAAAGAAAGACGCCCTGGAGAGAACAGAACAGTCCGTCCGGCCAATACTTCTGTTGTCTACCCCGCCGCAGAGCTGCAGATTTCCCGAGCAGACCTGCCACCCGTGGATGGAAACCGACCTCGGCCGCATCATCATGTGGATGAAGACCATGCCCGGCAAGTGCATGAGCGACAAGCAGGTAAGTCGAGCGAGCGAGCGTGGCCCCCTCTTGGCCATTCACCCTCCTGCTTTCTTTTTTCTTCGTTCTTTTACTCGATAGAGTGTATCTGGTTCTGAGTCTGACGGTTGGCCGCGTGCTCTCGCGCGGATGTGTAGTGCACGAGGACGGGAAACCCCTGCCGGTGGACCAGGAACATCGAGGCCATCCGTTGCACATGAGATGAGAGGCACTCTGCGTTTTGTTGTGGTATAGGCATAGGTCTCGTACATGTGGTCGATTTATGTTAAAGGAATGTACGTGGAGTTACTCCGACTTCGTTGCTGTTGGGTATCAGCAGTTCAGGCTGAAGGCGTTTACGGAGCTCTCGTGTTCTGGTTAAAGAAAGAGGCCGACTGGATCGAGGTAGAACAAATCAGGAAGGAAAGAGAAAGACTCCAACGGTTCGCGGATTATGTCCGGCGGCGGGTCGGACGATCAGGTCCTTCAGGTCACCTCGCCTCTTGACGGTAGCTCTCCTTCCTGGTCCCTTCACGGTTGCATCCACCAAGCAACCAGGGGGGTTGCATATACAGCCGGCGTATCGCGTGACTTGCTTCAGCAATCTTCTTTGCAATTACTAGTCGAGATGCACTCATCGTCAAAATGCACACAGAACGCAGACAGAAACGCCTTCAACTCCCACGCCGTCCCGACATCCATCATGTACACCGGTTCCCGTCACAGCGCACCCCTGACGTGGCCTCTAACCCTCGCCCCAGTCTCTATACCATAGGCACTACCCGCGTGCTGCTGCATGAACTCGAAAGCGTCGTCTAAGCCATCACCGCCGTTGGGCGCCGGCGCGAGCCACCACCCCTCCTCTGCTCCGTGGCACCAGGCCGGGCGAGCGTGTACTTGGCAAACGCACGGGCGAGCGCCTTCTTGCAGCTCAGCTTCTGGCTGCCGACGAAGCTGTCGACCGTCACGGCGATGGCCCGGTCAATGTCCTGCGCGGAGCAGTACTCGGAAAGCCGCATCCTGCAGAAGGCCTCGCTGATGCGGATGATGGCCTCGAGGTGGCGGACCTGTGCGACATTGGCGTTAGTAACGTTTCCTTTCAACATGCCGAGGAGCAATAGTCTCGCGGGTGTGACAGAGGCGACTTACCGTGATGGGGTACGCTCCCGTCGCCAGCGACTCTCGTCGCATGTCAGCAAACAGGCGTGCGACCTTGTCCTCGTCCATGTGGTACAGCTTGGGGCTGCAGCGCTCCCGCGCGTACAGGATATACTTGCGCAGCAGCTCCTGCGGGATCTCGCCCTCCTTTCTCGTGCTCGCGTTCGTGCCCTGCGTGTCCACCTGCTCCGAGTCGTGCTCGACTTGCATCGAGTCCTGTGCTGCCGTTGCCTGCGACAGCGGGTGGCTGCGGCTGTGCGAACCGACGATGAAGCGCGCCAGGCGCTCATCCTCGGCTGGCTCGACCGTATCCCGCACCACGCACAGGATGTCGAAACGCGACAGGATAGGTTCCGTCAGCTGCACGTTGGCAGAGAAGGGGATGGTGGAGTTGTATCTGCCGCCTATCGGGTTGGCGGCGGCGATGATGCCGCAGCGGGCCTGCAACGTCGTGACGATGCCGGCCTTGGAGATGGAGATGGTCTGCTGCTCCATGGCTTCGTGGATCGACGTCCTGTCCTGGTCGTTCATCTTGTCGAACTCATCAATCAGGCACGTGCCCCGATCCGCCAGCACCAACGCGCCGCCCTCAAGCGTCCACTCGCTCGTCAGCGGGTCGCGACGGACACTAGCCGTCAGACCGACCGCGCTGGCGCCCTGGCCCGTGGCAAAGACCGCTCGGTGAGCCGTCTTCTCCACGTACTTGAGCACTTGGGACTTGGCCGTGCCGGGATCACCGAGGAGGAGGACGTTGATGTCGCCGCGCACATGATGAGCACCCTTGGTGGTCTTGGCGACACCGCCGAAGAGCGACAGGGCAACGGCAGTCTTGATGTCTGTGTGGCCGTAAATGCTGGGGGCGATGGAATTGACAAGCTTGTCAACAATGTTGGGGTCCCGGGACAGCTTGCGAATCTCGTGCTCGTCCTCCTCGGTCATGCGGAAGCCGGCAAGCTGATCGTGCGACTTGACCACGTTGTTGGCCTCGAGGATGGTGGCAAAAACGGGGAAGCCGTTCCTGTTGTTGAGCTGCGCGTCGTAGTTGTTGCGGTAGATGCCCGTGACTTCGATCTCCTCACCAGGCTTTGCCCGGTCGATAAGGTCCCACAGCAGGATGACTTCTCGCTGGCGCGGCAGACGGCCGGCCGGGACGGTTCCGGGCGACTCTTGCAGGGTGAGCTTCTGGTAGTTGCGGTACACCGTCTTCTCCGAGTTGAGCGTGAACGGGCCGCGAGACTGGCAGCTCTGGCAGAAAGTGATCTTGACCTCGACATTGGACTCTTGCTGGAAAGGGCCGAGCGTGACGCCGCACTTGGTGCAGTCGAACTTGACGTACTTGAGCTGCGGGAAGACGCCGGATCGGCGAGTGACGACGCCGCTGACTCGCACGAGGCAGTTGAGATGGGACTGGCGCAGCTGTCGGAGGGTATAGTGGACGGGGAGGTCAAAGATGCGCACGTGAATCTCAGAGTGGATTCGCTCGTAGTCGGGGTAGTGGAGGAGGACAACGTCCATGGCAACCTCGTCGAAGAGCTTGAGCATCTCGGCCGGGGCGTTGGCCAGGAAGTAGGCGAGGATGGCCTTGCTTTCAGACAGGTGCTCGTACGACACCTCGAGAGACTCGGCGTTGATCTCACCGAGCGTGCGGATGCGGTTACCGTACACGGAGGATCCTGACGCGTCAATGTACGAGGTCAAGAACGCCTTGAACTCGCGCTTGATGGTCCTCTGCACGGGCTGTATCGACACCCACTCGGTCAGGTTCGCGGCCTTGACGTCGCCGAGGGCCTCGAGGGACAGCTCCTCGTCCATGATGTCGGCATCCATGACGTCGTCTGGGTCCTCGTCGTAGTGATGGCGACGGCGACGCGGCTGAGCGGTCAGATCAATGTCGCCATCGTCGTCGTCTCCAGGTAGAAAGGCGGCGGGGACACGCTGCCTCCGAGCGACTTCTCTGTCGCGTCTGTTGAGCTGAGCCTCGAGCTGCCGCCGGGCGCCGAGGTCCATGTCGTCGTATTGGCCATCGTCGTCAAGGTCAGCGCCCTCGTAGGCGTCGTCCTCTCGAGCTCTGTAGTCGGCCTCGAAGCCTTCGCGGAACAGGTCGACATCATCGTCGGCCATCTCGTCAATGTCGTCAATGTCGTCCTGAATCTCAGCCTCCTCCTCAATCTCATCGTCGTCCTCGACGCCGTGGGCGACGTCAAACGGAGCTGGCGGCGAGGAGGGCATGGGGCTCGAACCCGGACCGACGGAGGAGGTGGCATCGTCGCCGGCGCGCGTGCGCTTGCGGCTCGAACGCGGAGCGGCTCCGCGGTTGGCCGAGGCCGGGTTATCACGAAGAGGCGAGCTGCAGCTGTCAGTATTTTCTCACACATTTGTTGATCACGAAGAGCGAGAGCATACCTCATTGCCTCGGTGTCTCTATGCGTCGGTAATTTGGAGGCAGTCGACGTGGTTCAACCCGATGCGTTCTGTGGAAGAATGAGGCAACGGCGTCGGGTGGGTGGGATGGGAATGAAGAGGGCGAAATGAGGGCGGGTGCGGGACCAAGGGAGCGGCAAGATGGGATTTCGCGTGTCTGAGACGCGCCGACGCGTTAAGTGGCTCCAGCGCGCTAACCCCCGTTGGCAGCGACGCGTTAAGTGGTTGCCGGGCGGGTAGCGCTGACAAAATCGACACTGTAGATTCCGGGGGAAAGACCACCAGAGCTGGCCGCATAGTTTTGTCACCTAAGGCCCCCTGGAGCCCATGCCATGCCACGCCACGCCACGCCCAAACCACACACGTCCGCCACCAGAGCTGCTCGCTCTCACACCCACATGGAGCTGACTCGACAGTCTTCGAGCTGCATCCACCTCCGCAACCTCTCGTCATCATCCACGCCTTCGACGTCGTCCGCTGAGCCATTGAATCAGGCCCATGTCATCCCTCTGATCAACTATTCACCACGCAACGCCATGGCGACGGATCCTCCGCCCGCGCCTGCGGCCACCGAAAACAATGGCGAGGTGACGGTGTCCGGGCGGAGCAATAGCTTCTCCCAGCTGTCTGAAGACTCTCAGACCGCGGCAGAGTAGGATCGCCGACCTCTATATACCAGAAGCACGCGCTGACCAGTCTCAGCTTCATCCGCAACCAAGAGCTCCTGGAGGCCGACGCACGCGAGGCCCTCCCCTACGTAAGCCTCCAAACCAGCAGCCGCCAAACCACCCGCGTCGCCGTCGCTGACATCAACAGAGCATCGAAAGCTGCACCAAGATCCTCGGCCCCCTGCGACAGAGCGTCTTCGCCTGCATGACATGCAACCCGCCGCCCTCCAAGCCCCAAGACCCCTCCTGGACCCCCGCCGGCGTCTGCTACGCGTGCTCGGTGCAGTGCCACGGCGAGCACACCCTCGTCGAGATCTTCCAGAAGCGAAACTTCACATGCGACTGCGGGACGACGCGCATCCCCGCCACGAGCCCCTGCGCCCTGCGCGTCAACGAGCAGACCAATACCAAGGGCGGAGTGCACTCCGAAGAGCCCGACGTCAACAACAAGTACAACCAAAACTTTCGCAACAGGTTCTGCGGCTGCGAGTGCGACTATGACCCCTTCCAGCAGAAGGGGACCATGTTCCAGTGCCTCGGGCTGGGCACCGTCGAGACCGGCGGCTGTGGCGAGGACTGGTACCACCCCGGGTGCCTCGTCGGCATGGGCCCCAAGTGGTACGAGAAGATGGAGGGATACAAGAACAAGCGAGCGAGCGGCACCGCTTCAGCTGGCAACGGTCTCACTACCATTGCTGAGGGAGACGAGGAGCGGCAAGTACCAGCGCAGGATGATGCGGATGTCGCCGTCGTCGACGAAGACGATGAGCCGCCGATGCCACCGGGTTTCCCGGAAGAAGACGACTTTGAGGGCTTCCTGTGCTACAAGTGCGTCGAGTCCAATCCCTGGGTCAAGAAGTACGCCGGTACATCTGGATTCCTGCCAGCCGTCTTCCTCGACTCGGCGACAACCGCTCCAACGCAAGTAGAGGAGCCCGTCAAAGTGGAGGAGCCCGCGTCCAAGAAGCGCAAGGCCGAGGACGACGTCGACGAGGAGGCCGAGGCAAAGCGCGTCAAGAGCGAGGACGGCGCCACGGTAGAGCCATCCGCGAACGGTGCTGACGCTGCTGCACCCGCCGCCAGCTCCGTTCAGACACCGTCTCAAGAGGAACCGGCTCCAGCCAGCCCTACCGGGTGCAAGCTGCCCAACCTGCCCGCCGCGCCCGCAACCCGCTTCTCGCTCTTCTTCAAGGAAGATTTCCGCGACAGGTTCTGCCGCTGCACCGAGTGCTTCCGCACCATGAACGCGCACCCGCAGCTCCTCGAGGAGGAAGAGGTCTACGAGCCACCCATGTCGGACGGCGGCGACGGCGCTTCACAGCACGGCGGCGGGTCCACGCACGGCAGCGGCAGCCTGCTCGAGCGCGGGGAGAGCGCCCTGCGCAACGTGGACCGCGTGCGCGCCATCGAGGGCGTCATGGCCTACAACCACCTCAAGGAGCAGCTCAAGCCCTTCTTCCAGCAGTTCGCCGAGAGCGGCAAGGCCGTCGGCGCGGAGGACATCAAGGCCTACTTTGCGAAGCTGCGCGGTGACGAGCAGGGCATCCAGGAGGCGGGGCGGGCGGCCGCAGAGTCCAAGGACGGGCCGTCGGACGCAGATGGGGGGGACTCGAGGCGCGAGCAGAGCGGTTACTAGGCACTGAGCGGGTTGGCTGCGGATGCTCTGGCGAAGGACCGGTGTAGAGGACATGAAGTCTTGGCGACAGCGGTAGGTCGTCGTGTGCGATGGGCTACGACCATGTACGGTATTTGTATCAATAGTTTAGGATCTGGGTTTGGGAACAGGCATATCCAGAATGTACGGCACGTCGGCGTCGGATGCTTTGAATACAGCCAAGGGACGGCCAAGTCGCCTCCATCATCATCATCATCATCATCATTGACCATGTCAGCATTGAATTACCTAAACACCGTCATCTCTTCTCCGCTCGTCAGAAAATGCTCATATTGCCACTCATGCCCTGTGCCCAGCCACACGTATCGTATCGTATCGTACAAGGGGGTATATTGTTTTGGCTCCGCGCGCCATGGATGGATAGACGCTCCTCCGACGGGGTGGACCAGCGCGTCCTACTGTCCCGTCGACCCTGTGCTCGATGCCGCGCTCAGTGGCCGCGGCGGGGGCATGGGAACGGCCCTCGGCGCGGGCTCGTCTCTCTGCATGGCGATGCCGCCCAGCATGGCGAGGTGCGGCAACGGCGGCTGGCTCTCGGCGCCAGGGCCGCCGTCGCCTCCTCCCATCATGGCTTCCTCGTCGTCGTCGACGCGCCCATCCATCATCTGCTCCTGGGCAGCCCTGCGCTCCATCTCGGCGACGCGCTCCTTCTCCGTAATGTCGACAACGTCGTCGTCGCCGCTCCAGTAGGGGTCGTCGTCGTCGAGCTCGGGCATGGCCATGCGCTTCCAGAAGCGCACCTCCTGGCGGGCGGCGACGGCGTCGACGCGGGCGGCCCAGCGGGCCTCGTCCTCGTCCCAGCGGCGGCGGAAGCCGCGCAGGGAGTCGTTGGCGGCGCGGGCGTGCGCCTGCATCTCCCACATCTGCTCGCGCAGGCGGCTGTTCTCGCGGCGGGCCTCGTCGAGCTGGGCGCGGTAGGAGCGGTGCCAGGCGGCCACGTCGGCGACGTGCTTGGCCTTGTACTCGTGGAACTGGCGGAGCATGAGGGCGAGGGCGCTGGCGTACTGGGAGAGGAGGGCGGCGTTTTGGTCGCGCGAGTGGTTGGCCTTTTCGAGGGCCTCGGAGAGGATGGAGACGAGGGCGTCGAGGTTCTGGCTGTCGACTGCAAGGGGGGGGGTCAGCGAGAGGGTTAAGCACTTCGGGGGCCAAAAAATGGGGGGGGATGGGGGATCGGACGCACCCTCGAGGTCGTCGGCGGCGGCGGCCATCAGGTCATCGTTGGCGAGGCCGTGGGAGCGGGCGCGGCTGCGCACCCGGCCGAGGCCGCTGACAATGTCCTCGGTGACGCGCCTGTTGTCGGCGAGCTGGCGGCTCAGCTCCTCGACCATGCCGTAGATGTAGTTGAGCTCGGCCTGGTGGCCGGCGGGCGTGGGCGCGGGGGCGGGCATGGCGGCCATGTTGGCGCCGCCGTTGACGCCGTTCATGGCTTGCTGGTACTGCGGCGACGGCTGCTGCTGCTGCTGCTGTTGCTGTTGCTGTTGCTGTTGCTGGAGGTTGTATTGCTGGAACTGCGACGGTTGTTGTTGCTGCTGCTGCTGGGAAGAGGCGGCGTTGGGGAGGGCGGCGGATTGTTGGTGGAATTGCTGGGATGGGTACGGACGGGGCTGTTGGTGCTGCTGCTGCTGCTGCTGCTGCTGCTGCTGCTGCTGCTGCTGCTGCTGCTGCTGGATCTGCTGGATCTGCTGGTGTTGCTGCGACTGTTGCTGCTGGTGCGACGGCGGTGGTGGTTGATGGCTCGGAAAGATGGGGGCGTCGGCAAAGTTGATGGCCGGCGTGGGCTGTCGACGATGGTGGATCTGCAGATGTTGTTGTTGGCCCTGGCGGTTCTGCTGCTGCTGCTGCTGCTGGCTCACCTGGTGGAGGGTCCTGCTCCCTCCTCCCTCGGCGGCGCGGCCCATCTGGATTGCTGGCCCCAGCGCCGCCAGCGACCCCTGGGCTCCCTGGGCTCCTCCTCCCTGGTGAGGGTGCTCCAGCCCAGGCTGCTGCTGACTCGGGTCGCTGTTGGGGGCGCTAGTAGCAGCAGCACCAGTCCCGCTGCCGCCGCTGCCTCCCGCCATCACGTCGACGACGCTCATCGCGGCCTCTGGGTTCGGGTTCGGCTGCTCAGGCGGACATGGCGATGGAAGAAGGGAAGCCGCGCGATGGATATGCGACAAGACAAGTTGCGTTGGGGGTCGTGTGTTGTGGTGTGTGTTTTTTTTTCTTCTTCCTCGTTCTTGTGCTGCGGTGCGCGGGCTATGTGGCCTGGCGAGGGAATTGGATGTGCAAAATGAAGATCGGCTTACCTGCGGGCGGCTGCTGCCGTTCGCTTGCTCAGGTACATAACCCCGTGTGCCTTGGGCGACGCGACATCAGGTAATGAATGGTAAGGCAGCCTCGAACGTGTATGACTACGAGGAGGTATGTATGTATGTATGTGCGTAACGGGGGAGCGCGCTGGCTGGTCATCGAACGGGCAGACGCGGCTGCATGTGTTTGCATTCTGACATGAGCCGACTTGTCTGTCGTCCTGGTGCTGGTCGATGCGGTTGATGCCGCGCTGGGCCGCGTCGCTGTCCAGTGTTCGATTCGCAGCGCAGCTGGTCTCCGCCTCCTGCCGTCGAGGCAGGCGAGCCGCTTCGTTGGCGACGGCCTGGCTATGCCGCCAGCATCAGCCTGCTGAAGATTGCAGATTAGCCTTGACCTCAATCAAGCAGATGATGCACCTTCTTGGCCTGGATAAACCCAGCCAAGTGCTCGTCTGGCAAACCGATGACGGCCGTGACCCGTTGTGCTCACCACTCTCGTCGACCTGCCCACGATGGGCTACCCGGGACTGAACTCTGCAATCGTGAAATCGCGCCACGATCAGGACATCCGCGTCGCAAAGCTCTGGGTACGATGTAGGGGTGCATACAGGCAGTGCTCCCATTTGGTCTTCGTACTTTGGAGCGCGTATATCGATCACGGGTTTGGGTTTTGCCGTCTGGCTTATTCTGCCTCCCTGTGCTTGTATCACGACCCCTCCCACCATCGCTCCTTCCTTTAGTGGGACGACAAGCGATATCACGGCCCTCGTGCCGAAAACCACCATGCAAACCCGCGTGAAACTCCCACACGAGCGCATGTACTGTACGACGCAAACCGCGGCAGCCCTCTCACTGCCACATCTGCCCAACGAGCCATCATTTCGACATCCTCATTGTCCAGCCAGGGGACGACAACATCCGATCTGCAATGCAACCTCGGCTACACTCCCGAAGCGAATGTCGACACCCATGAGGGGCATCATTTCCGACTGGCTTGCGCGGGCGGCCTGTTTGCTTCTTCTGGTTGTTGTGCTGGCAGGGAAGCAGGGTCATGGCCTGCACCAAAGTCCTCGGTCCGACAAATGGATCGAGACGAGCCCACCACGAGCGGCACCCTTCGACTGGAGACGACTGGGTGTCCCGCATGTCAGCGGCGGATGGCGAATTTCGCCGATCATCAACAGGCGGCTCCTGAATAAAAAGCTGCAATATCGAGTCTCTGAATAAACACGGAGACGCAGCAAGACTCGGTTCTGTCCTTGAGTCGAGACTCGAGTCGATGCCTCGAGAGCTGTCCCGTCTGTCAACGTTTACCCGGACGATGACACATGCCGTAAGCTCATTCTGTGGCTTGTCGCTTGTGCAATCCCCATCAACCTAGCAAGCGAGTCCAAAGGTCCCTTGGTCTGCGGCGAGGCTTGAACGAGCAATTGTCCCCGAGGCACCGCCGGACTGCAGCGCCTCGAACCGCTCTCTTCCTTGAGCAGTCGTCCATGAGGGCCTGCCAGATCACCACGAGGTTCCACCAATCCACGAGGCTTGGTCGACTTGACGGACCCGGTCGAGGATAAATTTCTCGGATGCCATCAAGCCACCGCTCCACGAACGCTCCACGAACGGAGCAGCCCGCTTCAGACGCCCAGGGCGAAAGGCGGGGGAGTCTGCGAGTGCGGGGAACGCCATGACGAGACCAACCTCAAGCTTGCAGTGAGCCACGGTCGGGTCATCCCATGGCCAAGAGCTCATCAGGGCATTTCTTCAGCGTCTGCAGCAGGTTTCTCCGGCGCCTCACCAGCCTCCCGTCAAGCCTCAGCCGCGTATTCGGCCCGGCTCTCGTGCTAGCCCTGATGCCCCTGGTCGAGAATCCAATCATCTGCCGAGCGGAGAATGGGGCAGTCGGCCCCGCAGCCATCCCGCTGCGGGACGTGGAGTCGAGACATCAACCCCAAGGCTCTTGTTTCTTGGAGCAGATCGACGAGGCCTTCCATTACACCCGGGGCAGCGGCGGAAGCTGCGAATCGAGTCAACGGATGGCTCGGGACCTCGTGGTTTGCTGCAATGGAACCGACGGATGGCCTGTGGCGACTTACACCCCGGCCCGGGAATGTCAACACAAACAAACATCAGTCCTGCCTCGGCCATGAGTCAATGACTTGGAGAGATGCAATTGACCCTGCTTTGCGTCGATAATCTCGGCCGTATGTCGTTGCAAAGGCTGACGGGCTTCAATGGAGGCGCGGTGGCTATTTGACGCGAGTAACCGAGCCGACAAATTTTCCCTGATCGTGGCATCGTCGGCCGGCAACATTCGACGGCGCCCCTCGGGGCTCTAGTCCCTGGAGCGGAGTCTCCGCACTTCTAACCTTACACAGCAGCTCTCGATCGAGTCCCTCATCGTCATGGCCTTGGCACCCCAGCAGTCGAGGCGCTACCGGTCCGACGACTTGGGCGAGAGGCGGCACAAGTCAGACAGGGGAGGGCGCCAGCCCGGATGTAACCCCGCTGGCCTGTCATTGACCTGGGCCCTTTGATGTCAGATCTGCGCAGCTGTGACCTTATATAAGTGCGTGCACCGACGGCCTGGAATCCTTTGCCCTCGCGAGGATCCCTTGTCGAGAACGTGTACTCACTCCCGGGCATCTTATCAACACCATGAGGTTCTGGAGCGGACTTGTCTGCGCGGGCCTCGCGTCCGCGACGGCCTTATCAAGCAGGAACGGTGGCAACCTCGACGCCTGCCCTGGCTACAAGGCTTCCAACGTGAAGAAGACTGGCAATGGCCTCAAGGCCGACCTGACGCTTGCCGGCAAGGCGTGCAACGCCTATGGCACCGACCTGAAGCATCTCACACTTGAGGTCTCATACGAAACAGGTGCGCCTCAGCCTATCCATCCTCGAATAAATGCCCGCGCTGACATCCAAGTCCAGATGACCGCATTCACGTCACGATTCAGGACAAGGACAACCAAGTCTACCAGGTCCCTGAATCCGTCTTCAAGCGGCCAGGAGGCAAGAGCTCCGCCGGGTCCAACAAACTCAAGTTTGACTACACCGAGTCGCCCTTCTCCTTCAAGGTCAGCCGCGCCGACTCCAAGGAGATTCTCTTCGATACTTCGGCGGCGTCGCTCGTGTTCGAGTCGCAGTACCTGCGCCTTCGGACCAGCCTGCCCCAAGACCCCTATCTCTACGGCCTGGGCGAGCACTCGGATCCTCTGAGGCTCCAGACCAAGAACTACATTCGCACAATGTGGAACCAGGACAGCTACGGACTGCCCAACAACTCCAACCTCTACGGCACTCACCCCTTCTATCTCGAGCAGCGAAAGGGCGGTTCCCATGGCGTCTTCCTTCTCAACTCCAACGGAATGGACATTTTCATTGACCAGACCTCGAGCGGAAAGCAGTACCTCGAGTACAACACCCTGGGCGGCGTCTTCGACTTTTGGTTCGTTGCTGGACCCAGCCCTACCGACGTCGTCAAGCAGTACGGCAAGATTGCCGGCACCCCCGCGCTGCAGCCGTACTGGGGTCTGGGCTTTCACCAGTGCCGATACGGTTACCAGGATGCTTACAACGTCGCCGAGGTTGTCCAGAACTACAGCCTGGCCAAGATCCCCCTGGAGACCATGTGGACCGACATCGACTACATGGACCGACGCCGCGTCTTCTCCCTGGACCCTGATCGCTTTCCGCTCAAGAAGATGCGCGAGCTCGTATCTCACCTTCACAAGAACGACCAGCACTACATTGTCATGGTTGACCCTGCCGTTGCCTACCAAGATTATCCCCCTCTGCATGCAGGAGTCAAGGATGACATCTTTCTGCGCCGCGACAACGGGTCTCTCTGGCTCGGCGTAGTCTGGCCCGGCGTGACCGTGTTCCCCGACTGGTTCTCCAAGAACATCCAGAAGTACTGGGACGGGCAGTTCCAGAGCTTCTTCAACAAGGACACGGGAGTCGACATTGACGCCTTGTGGATTGATATGAACGAGCCAAGCAACTTCCCTTGCAACTTCCCGTGCGACAACCCCTATGAGGCAGCCAAGGGCTTCCCTCCCCCAGCGCCTCCTGTTCGCCAGCCACCTCGTCCCCTGCCTGGATGGCCCTGCGATTTCCAGCCTCCGGGCACTTGCAAGCGCTCCGAGGTTGAGGAACGAGATGTGCCCACGCTCGAGGCTCGCGTTCCCCAGCCTGCGGTCCACGACAGCCTCCCCCAGGCAGAGCGCCGCGCCGCGGGCGATCAAAAGGGCCTCCCTGGACGCGACCTCCTGTATCCCAAGTACGCAATCCACAATAAGGCCGCCTACCGCGATGATTGGAACGCCGACAAGGGCGGCATCTCCAACCACACTGTCAACACGAACCTGATCCACCAGAACGGCCTGGCCATGTACGACACCCACAACATGTATGGATCCATGATGTCCACCGCCTCGCACGACGCCATGCTTTCCCGCCGTCCCGGTCTCCGGCCCCTGATCATCACCCGAAGCACGTTCTCCGGTGCGGGCACCAAGGTTGGCCACTGGCTCGGCGACAACCTGTCCACCTGGGACATGTACCGCAACTCGATCCGCGCCATGCTGGCCTTCACCGGACTCTTCCAGTTCTCCATGGTGGGCTCGGATGCGTGCGGCTTCGGCGGCGACACCACCGAAGAGCTCTGCGCGCGATGGGCTGCGCTCGCGGCCTTTTCGACCTTTTTCCGCAACCACAACGCCGAGGGCCAGATCAGCCAGGAGTTTTACGTCTGGGACACGGTGGCGAGCAGCGCCCGCAAGGCCATTGACATCCGCTACCGCCTCCTCGACTACATCTACACGGCCATGTACCGCGCCAACGACGACGGCCGCCCCGCGGTGCAGCCCATCTTCTACAAGTACCCAGAGGACAAGGCCACCTGGGCGCTGGAGCTGCAGTACTTTTACGGCGACAGCGTGCTCGTCGCGCCCGTCACGGCGCAGGGCGCGACCAGCGTCGAGGTGTACCTCCCCGACGACACCTTCTACGACTGGTACTCGCACAAGCCCATCCTCGGCGAGGCGGCGACGCACAAGTTCATCGAGCAGGACACGACGACGATCCCGCTCCTCATCCGCTCCGGCGCCATCATCCCCGCGCGCGCCAACTCGACGTACACGACGACGGAGCTGCGCAAGCAGGACTTTGAGCTGCTCGTCGCGCTCGACGCCCACGGCAAGGCCAAGGGCGAGCTGTACCTCGACGACGGCGTCTCCATCGACCAGAAGGGCCGGTACTCCCTCGTCAGCTTCTCCTACGACAAGGGCACCGTCACCTTTGACGGCAAGTTTGGCTACGACGGCCCCGCCACCGTCTCCAAGATTACCGTCCTCGGCGGAGGGTGCAAGCCCCGCCCCGGCAAGCGTGAGCACACCACCGGTGGCGACAAGAAGTACAGCAAGACGTACAAGGTCCACGTCAAGCTCAACAAGCCTGGCAGCGTCAAGGTTGGCGGCAAGTGAGGTATTGAACGGGCGGCGGCCGTGGCGGCGGAGGACGATCAGCGTGCTGTTAAGCAGCGAGGTAATGCAAAGTAGTGGCCAGTAATGAAGACTTGACGTTGAACAATGATTCTGAACGCTGCCGAGGCTGCCCTTTTCCATGAACTGCCCTGTCGTGGAAACGTGTCGTACTCACGCAGTCTCAGAGGGTGTATGTGCCATGCAAATGACTGCCGCGTTGAACCACGACATTGACCTTTGTAATGCCGCGTACATTTTCCTACCGTACCGTGTCGTTCCGGCCGTAACTATAACATGGCTAAGAGCAGCGAACCCCCTCACCATAAAGGACAGCCGCCGCTCCATCCCATCACGACATGCAGCACCCGTGGCTACCCATCGCTTTTGACCCAAATATGCCCCAAAATAACTGCCACCAACATAAACTCCAAGCTCATGAGGCTAAAGACAAATCGGAGGAGCAGCTTTGGCTCGCCCGGCACATGGAGCAGTTCGAGTGGTCAAAAATCAATCTCGCCCTCCCATGTTCTCCTTTTTTTTCTGTTGTTCCCCTAGCCCAATGGGCAGCAATCCCTTTTCCGTCTCGTTTCGCCGCGCAGGTAGATCCCGAAGTTTTGGAAAAGAAAGAAATCAAGACGCCCCAATCTCGCCGAATACCAAAGCCCGCCTCCATGATGAATTGTAGAGTCAGACAACCGCCTCCCGTCCTGTGGCGTTTTCGCTCCCGAGATGCGTGGCTAAATGAATGCATCCGTGTCGTTGACGTCGTTCAGTCGTGGCCGTTTCCTATGTGAGAACGGCCCCATGTTTGTAACAGAGCAAGATAAGCATGAACAGAATAAAAGAATGCTGGGCATGAGAGCCGGAAGATGAAGAATGGGGTGCGAGAGCAAGGTAGGTCTCACGCCATCGATGACTGCCCCTCACCAGCGTCGTCGTCTGGAGGCCGCGCATCCACCATGGATGTGTCCTCCATCTGCGATGAGTCGAGCTGTGATGTATCGGCAAGCGACATGAGCGACGAGTCGTTCCGGTCAAGCATGGCTGACCCGTTGCCCTGAGAGCTGCCGGTCAAGCCATTGTTGGCACTGAGTCGGTACTCCCCGTTGCCCTTGGGTTTGATGATGCCCTCGTCGAGGGCCCACTGTGCCAGCAATGGGTCAACGCCAAGGTTTTGAGCCTCGCCCTTCTCCATGTGCCGTCCGACGTGCTCGGTCCACTCGTCCCAAGATCCTGGCCCGTCAAACGCATAGTGACAGCCGGGCTTCGGGCAAGCGGATTTCTGTGGCGGCTGCCGGCGGGTGACGAGGCACGTCTGATGCATGCTCTTGACGTGCTCCTCCCATTCAGCCAAGAGCTTAGTCTCCCCTTTAGACATGGCTCGCTTGACCTGGAACGGGGCGTGCATGCGTCGGAGATGCTGTGTGAACAAGTCCTTGCGGTTAAACTCGTTGCCCTTTCCCTCAACGGCGCTCTGTGGGCATTGGGAGCAGCGATAAAACTGCAGGCAGAGATGCTGCGACGCAATATGGCGCTTCCACTCGTTTTTGGAACCAAAAGTGCTGGTGCAGCCGGCAAACGAGAATGCGCAAGGGAATGGGCGCGTGTGGGCGGCAGCGATGTGCTTGCGCAGCGAGGATGAGTCCTTGAAGGGCGCGTGGCTGCAGTGGTTGCATCGCGTCTCTGGCTTCATGACGGAGCGACGGATGGCTTTGGAGCGAGACGTGGGCGTCAACTTGAGTTCAGAAGCCGCCGTAGCGTTCTCCATGTCCGCCAAAGCCGCCTCGTGGGTCTGCTGCATGCCGTCGAGGCCCGCGTTCGGAACACCCTCGGGAAGGCTGGTCCGTGGCCGCTGGCTGGCCCCGGCCAGCGTCTCGTCGCTCCGGTGGCGGACATGGCTGAGAGCCTTGAGCTGCTCGGCAGCTTCCTGCATCTCGGCAGAATCCTCAACCTCGTCCTTGGGCTTACCGGGCCCGCCAGGAGCGTACGAGCCCCTCGATGGACTGCCTTGGGGCGCCAAGTCCGGCCGGCTGTCATGCAGGGAGCGGTCGCGCGACGCGGATGAGTGGTAGGGGTGATCGTGACCGTCGGAATCTCTCCACGACCTGGCTGGTGTTCCCGCGGCCAACTCTCGAGCCTCCAATAATATGCGGCCATCCTCGACCTCCTTGGCAGATGGTCTCACGCCCGCCGGGCCCACCAGCTTCTCATACAGATGAATCATGTTATGGGAGCTGATGTAGCCCAGGAAGCAGCAAACCTTGTCATGCTGTACAACATTCCAGATGGAGTGAGGCATAGATATCAGGAGCATGGTTGGAGGACCCAGGAACATGCCTTCGACGGCAATCTTGAAGCCCAGAGGAGGCGTGTTCTGGAGCCATTGGTTGAAGAAGGACATGTCGGGGCTCGCATCTCCGACAAAGGTGGTGCAGACCAGGATGCGGGCCTCGTCGAACCGCAGGTCGGCCACGGAGTCGGGGTCGATAAGTTGATCCTCCCTCCCTTGCGATGGGCGTCCATTGGCACTGCCGTCGCCGCCGTTATGTGACATTCCTTGCGGTCGTGGCTGAAGCGGTGCCAGGGTCAAGTTCTGGCCCTTGCCGGGCGTGAGCGTGAAGAATACTGGCGACTGGGCTGCTGGAGGAGGTGCGGACGACCCGTTGGGTACGCGGAGAGCTTGTGTGGCCGCGTGCTGCCTGGCTGCAAGAACCTCTTCATACAGCCTCTGGGCGCTGAAGGGCCTGCCGGTGTTGAGCTTGTGAAGAGCTTCGGTGAGACTAGCTGTGAACGAGCGAGCCGAATCGTCCCGATGGTTGCGCTCTGGGGCACAGGCGGCGATGACCTGCTTGACGCCGTGGCTGCCCGCCGTGGGCGGATCCGGGACCGCACAGGTATCCAGCAGCAAGAGGATATCCGACTGGGCATCCTCGAACAAACAACGAACACCATCCCACTTGAGCTTGGCCGCATCTTCCCCAGCTTTGCTGCAGAGCATCTAGTCAGCCAGAACCGGGGAACGAATCCCGAGAGGGATTGGACCGCGGCAACTCACCAAGCCCAGTAAAGCTGATTGTCCGAGCCAACGTAGCCGTGACCGGCGTAGTAAATTATCAAGAGGTGGTCTGGTCTCGCCTGCTCGAGAAAAGAAGCCATCTGGACGCCGAGCTTGATGCTGGGGTTGGGGACCGTGGGAATTTGCCATCGCTGGGTCCCAAAGTTATACTGCTTCTGAAGGACGGTTTCGAGCGCTGCAAGGTCGTCGTCTACCGTCTTGTCCTCGTGCCAGCTCAGCAACAGAACCGAAACATCGGCGTATGGCGGTCGTTCGGTCTGGCGCTGGATCAACATGGCGGCGTCTTGCAGATGCCGGGCAAATGACTCGAAGTCATGGCGCTCGGCGACGGGGGGAGCATCGTGGGCAGCGTAGTGCTGTGCTGGCGGTTGCGTAGATTGCTGGGTTGGCTGTGAGTGCAAAGTCCGCGGTCAGCTGTGCCGTTCAATCAATGCGGTTGGCCCATTGGCAGGCCGGCAAGGCTGAGGAGGAGGATGGAGGTTGGACGTTGGGCTGACCGTTTCGTGTGGATATGGGCCAGGCTGAGGATTGGGGGCCGGGGAAGCGTTGACTTTGGGAGCCAGCTTCCTCTTCTTGCTGGAGGGCTCCATGAAGGAGCAGAGGCGGCAACGGGGCCGAGAGGGGCGGGAGAGGGAGGGCAGGCGGCGGCTCGAAGGGGGGAGGGCGAAGTCGGGTCGGGGACGAAGAATTGGCTACGCTGGCCGGTCGTGGAGCGCAGGTCTGCCCGTGGCGGTTGGAGCTGGAGAACTTGAGGAATGTGAGGAAGCAGCCGTGGGGGGGGGGAGGGCTCTACTGCCGCCTCGGGGGCTTGGTATGCAGCACAGACGGGCGACGAGCGGACAGACCGACGGCCGAGCTCGTGGGGGACATGGGCGGCTCGAGGATACGGAGAATTGTTTTGTAAAGGTAAGGCCGGCAGGTAAGGTAGGCGAGGTTTAGGTACGAGTGAGGCAGGCGAGGGAAATAGCAGGTAAGGCTGGCCGGCCGGGTGCCATTGGCTCAGAGGGGCATCTCCAGAGTCCAGCAGCAGCCGTTTCCGCGGTGAGCTGTGCAGTGCGGTGCAGTGCTGTGCAGTTGCTTGCGAGGGCTAGCTCTGCTGCGCTGGCAAGCTGGGAGGAATTTGAGGAGGAGTGGAGGGGGTCGCTTTCCAGGCTCGAGGCTAAGCTTCCCAAAAAACCCAAGCCAATCCAATCCAATCCAGGCTGTCGGTCGCCAGATGGATGGGCAGGGCTCCCACCTACCTTGACAAGCCCGCCGCGTGGGTGCGTGGGCGGCAGGGTTGGTACAGACAGCAGCACCTGGACGTGCTAACTTCAAGCCTGCACTGGGCTCGGCGAGGCTGTCAGGTCAGGCCGGGGGGCCGCTGGCCAGTGGGCTGGCGCGGGAGTGGAGGCCGACCAGGCAATTGGAACGGCCCTGCACTTGACAGCGAACGAGGCGCTGCAGACGGCAGCTCCGAGGCCTGACTGTGGGGGGCCCAGCCCGCCGCCATTGGCTGGTAGCCGAGCGCCGCCTGGCCTCCACTGGCTCCCGAGGATCGGTGCCTGCTCTGCGCTGCAAGTACTTACCGGCAAGTACACGCTGGGGCTCAGACGAGACTGTGGGCAGAGCCCTGGAGATTGAAGGCCTGTCCACGGCTGCACGATCAGTCCAGATCCTGTTACAGCATTGCCCGGGTCCGCGGCGGTGAGCAGCGAACCCCCTGTGGACGAACAGCCCTGTAACATATTACCGAATGGTCCTGGGCACCCGGCCTGCTGGGGGAGTACCGGCCCAGCGGACACGCATGGCGGTGGCACGCACCTCGCAGGCGGCGTGGTGGGCGCGCCCTGGTGGGTGGTGGGGTTCCGTGGCACTGGGTTGAACCCTGGATCACCGCTGACGGGCCTGGCGTGGCTTGCCTGAGCCCTGGAGGTGGCCTGGACGGGACCTGGCTTGCCTGAGGTGACCACTTCGAATCGGCGCCCGAGGCGTTCCGCCAAGGTTGCAACTTGTTGGGTCCAACAAGCTGCCGCCTCGAGCGAGGTGCGCGTCGATGAGAAAGACGAAGGCCCCGAAAAAGGAAGCCCGTCGACAGAGCGTGCCCAACGCTGTCGACGCCAGGGCAGCAGCCGTCAATTGCCTCGACCCTCCGAATGGGAGGCTCTCCCCGCGTTCCACCGAGACACGCCATCGGATTCAGACCCCTCCATGCCTCCTCAGCCAAGCGAAGCGTCCGAGGAGGCGGCCACGTCCAGAAGACGGCCCGGCAGCGCTCTCTATCTGAGACACGAGCCCATCGCCGGCTGATGCTGATGCGCCAGAGCGCCGCCTTGCAAGAAGACGGCTTGCACGCATGGGCAGGCAGGCACCGCAGCTCCCTCCGCCGCCGCCTCGCCTCCCTCACGCCTCGTCCCTCGTCGTCATGCAGCGGCCGCACCCAACCTTGTATGGTGCCACGCCGCATGCATATCTCGATAGGCCGTTGCGACAGCTGCAAGGACCGCCGCGTGATTGGGCCGCGGCGTCCGGGGCTGGGTGGGTTGTGCGACGGCAGAGAAAGACGATGGGCGATGACATGGGGCGCGCGCATCGGCCATCTGTTTGAGAGGACCTTGAATCCCATGATGGACCCATTGGCCGGCCGGGATGCTTGCCGACCGCCGACGCACGCGTGATTCCACGACGGCTCTGCACCGTTGCTGCAGCCGCCTCCTCTGGCGGTGGGAGACGGCAGCGCCGACCTCGTCACGAGACTCTGGACGGCTCCGACAAGGGGGCCTGTGCTCGAAGGACGGTGCAGGCGCGTTATTATTGCCTTGCCTACTTGTGCCTTACCTTGGGGATATGTGGCTGGGGAGCGGACGTGTCCCCTAACCCGAGACGAACAACATCGACGGCGGAAAGTTGATCGAGCATACCATCCTGGTGAGGTATACTCCGCAAGATACTTGGTAGGTCGTACGGAATCCTTTGTACAAGGAGCAAAGAACACCTGCAGTATCTCCCACGCTCCGGACTCGGCGGAAGTAGAGCCCATCGTGCGCCGCGAGGCTTGCGGCACCAGGGCAGGGCAGCCAACGCGCACCCGCCAACCCAACTACCGATGGCTTCGGCAACAAGACGGTCAATGCCCAACTGAGACGGGCGGCGAGCCCTTTCGCCTCCGGATGACGAGGCCCGTCTTGTGGCGATGCGTCATGGGCCTGCGCCACAGCGACCGTGGCCTCGTCTGGCTTGCCTCGCTTGCCTGCGGGGAACCTGGCGACCATGCCGGTCGGATGGCAGCTGAGATTGGCTCTGGACGTCGTCCGGTCCCAAGCCAGCCGAGCGCTGAGGCCCAATCAACACCGACGTCTCGATCGGATTGTCGCAGCCTTGCGACTGGTCCTTCTGGTACGGTGCGACGGAGCCGAATCGTCATGGCATGGCCAAGATGGCATGGCATGCCCAGGTCAGTCCGGGCGCCGCGGCCAAGAATCAGGCGTGCCAAGAATGCGGCCCCGTGTCAAAACACCCGTGTCGAGGCCTGTCCTGTCAGCGCCAGGCAGTGCTCACTGCTCACGCGAGGGCTTCTCGTGATGGCCCCTCCCACCATTGGGCACGGCGTCTTCCAGGTGCTTGGCCCAGGCGATAATGTGTCTGAATGGAGCACTCGCATAGTCGTGACACGAGCTGACTCCACTGCTTGGCTGCCGACCGACAACAGTGTCGCTGACAGCCTCGTTCCCGTTGCTTCCGACTACCCTGCGCTGCCGTAAGAAGACGATGCGCGGGATCGGTGTCTGAGCTGCCTGGGCACGCCGTGCAGACGCGCGCCCCGTGCAACGTTGGAGTCGTCCAGAAGGCCTCCGGTGCGACCGACCCTGGCCCTTTGCCTTTCAGTCATGGAAAGGTGAGCTGCACAGCCCCAGCGCTCATGCAGGACACGCGGGGTGGAACCCAAGGCCTGCAGCAGCGGCGGGACCCCTTTGAGCCTGAAAGCATGTTCGCGTCCAAGGTTCAAACGAGCACAGCTCACCTCGTACATGGTCCTGGCCTGTGAGGAGAGAGAGTCGGGGCTCTCGTCGCGCGAGGGTGTCGCGATGAGGCATTCATTCGTCTCGTGGTCGCAGGCCTCGTGTGCAGTGGGGGGGGTGATGATGCGCCTGCGAGGCTTGTTAAATCGCCGGCACATCCGTCATCCCGCTCTGCAAGCCCCGGGGTGGCGCCCGGGCGCCGCTGACTGCCATTGTCACAGGCGATTTGCTCCCCTGGAGCCACCAAGGCGACGACGGCACCAAGAAACGGCAGCGACCCGTAGGTTCCAACACCCATCGTAGGGCTAAATTTACCCGCCCCAACCAAGCGCCGGGTGTCCCTGGCCGCCTGGCCGATACAGATGTCCCACTGGCCTCGACAGCGGGCTTCAGTGGAATCAAGGCCCGCTCCCGCCCACTGGAATGCAAACCTTGGCGGGGTCCTCGGGCCCCGCCCCGCTCCAACCATCACCGGGCTCCTCCTCCACTCCCCTCGCCTCAGGCAAGGTCCGTCCGTTTAGTTTGATGCCCGCCCGGCCACACACACAACGGGCGAGGTGGTTGCGTCACGGTGCGCCCGCTGCAGAGCACCGCACCGCGCCGTACCTCAAAGGAGGCGAAGTCTTGGCCGGCCTCGTCGTCGATCCAGTCATCTTCTCTCTGGCTCGTCAGGTACCCAACCCTGCCCTTTCCTCTTCTGCCCATAGCTCAGGCACGGCTGGCGATTCGCCCGGCACCTTTGATTCTGCCACAAACACTATCACGACCTCACGACTCCGCGACCAGCGCGACCGTCCAGCTGCGCAACCATGGACTCGTCCGGTGTCCGCAGAAAAGACACCACCAAAGGCCCGCCTCTGCGCGTGCTCTCCCTCGGTGAGAATCCGCGCGTGCGCCGTGACCGCGTCCCCCGCTAACCCCGAGTCGCAGATGGAGGAGGCGTTCGCGGCTACTCGATGCTCATCATCGTCCAGGAGCTCATGCACCGAACCTTTGTCGAGACCGAGGGCCGCGCCCCCCGCCGCCATGAGATACCCAAGCCCTGCGACCACTTCGACCTCATCGTCGGCACCGGAACCGGCGGCCTCATCGCCCTCATGCTCGGCCGCCTGCGCCTCGACCTCGAGACTTGCAAGGAGCTGTACGTGCGCCTGACGCGCATGGTCTTTGAGACGGACAAGACCATTGCCGGCATCCCGTACCGGTCGACGCTGTTCAAGGCGAGCAAGCTCGAGGACGCCATCAGGCAGTGCGTGCGCGAGCACACCATCTTCGAGGGCGAGGGAAACGACGGCAACGTTGATGAGGACCTCGTCAGCCCCCTCAACCCGGCACAGCGATCCAGCGCCTACCCGAGGCGCCACTCGAGCAACGCCAGCACCGTTAGCTTTAGCGCGCGCAGCCCCGCTGCCCAGATGGCGGCGCGGCCCGCCTTCAACTCAAGATACGGAAACCCAAATGCCAGACTGTACGATTCGCGGGAAAGGAGGACCAAGACGTGAGTTGAAGCTCTGATATGGCATCCCATCCTTGCCCTCACTAATCATTTCACAGCGCCGTGACAGCAGTCTACAAGGGCTCGCCGCGGGGCTCTCCGCCTGCGATCCTCCGTTCGTACGATTCCCGACGAGAGCCGCCGCCCGAGTTTGACTGCAAGATCTGGCAGGCAGGTCGAGCCACCTGTGCCATCGGCCTGGCCTTTAAGCCCATCCAAATTGGCCAGTCATGGTTTCACGACGACGGGGTGGGTACGTTTAATCCGGCGCCCGAGGCGCTCGACGAAGCCGTGGTAAATGAGTGGCCTGGCCGAGAGGTTGGGTGTTTTGTCAGTGTCGGCACCGGCAAACGGCCCAAGTCGAGCGACGCCAACCAGCAAATGTGGTACGAGGGGTTCCTCGGGGAGTTTGCCGAGGCGCGAAGGAGATTGATCGCCAAGATTGAGGGCTGCGAGGTTATCCACGAATACATGATGCGTGAGCACCTACCGCGACGGGGAGTCAACGCCGAAAACTACTACCGCCTCAACGTCGAGATTGGCGTGGGCGAGTTTGGCATGAACGAGTGGCACCGGCTCTCCGACATTAGCACGGGAACACGGCGATACATGGCTCGAGAGGCAGAGCAAAAGATGATTCAGGGCATCTCGACCAAGCTGGCCAAGATCCTCAAGGCCAAGATACGCTGGGAGCGAGCTCAGCAAGGCATCCCGGAGCTGGTGAAGTCGACATCGGCGACAAACTACGAAATGCCGCTCGCGGTGGAGCTACCCGGGGACGTCCCGACGTCGTATATCGTGCCGCCGCACAGCCCCATGAGTCGGTCGTCGTTTGATTCGGGCCCAGACAGCCTACAGGTCGGCAATTACCCCGCGTCGCCAAGGAGCTCTCATGACCGGATGCGCCCCGTGTCTGCGTGCTCACGAACGTCTCCCCCTCCGGCGATGACAGACCGCCCTCTGCCGCCGCCGCCCATGGGCAGCCCGTCGCCTCATGGGGACGAACCGGACCGGCTCCTCGTCTCGGCACCGTCGCCTACGCAGTATCGAAACGCGTCCGGGGCGGACAAGATTGCCATCATGAGCCCCGACGAGCACCCGCGGCCGCCCTCGATGCACCAGGTGGTACCGCCCGCCACGAGGATCGAGCCGCCGCCGCTGCCGCCCAAGACGCCCCTCCCAGACAGCAATCAGCAGCAGCATCACCACCACGGCAGGGGCCCGAGAGTACCCACGCCTCCGTATCCGCTGGACGACGAGGCACCGCCGCCGCCAGTGAACATGGCGCGGAAACCCGACTACCGCGGGCGGTAAGCTGTGCGACGAGTGCCACAAGGTTGTTTAGAGCTGGTGCGAACACGAGATCACCCGGCAGGAATCGGCGTTTGGCGTGTTGGACCGACTGACGTTGAACACATACCGCACATGTACATGTCGAGCTGGGACCGTCCATAGCTTGCGTCTTGATCTGATACCACGGCAGCGGGCCATTGCGACACTGTTGATGCGAAACGCGCTACGAAGTTTAGATAATGCTGGATGCTGAATATGGAACTGTGGGAGTTATTCTGGCAAGCCTCTGCCACTGTAGGATCCACGTACTTTGCAGTAAAATAGACGGATACCATGCTGCCCTTTTCCGAGTCCAACAGTGCCTACCTAGTACCTAGCACACTCGTGTCGTACGCCAACATCCGTGACAAGGGACAACAGAGCTTCGCTAGGGCCACGTGGAACGAAGCACGGTGGGTGCGTTGTACGCGCACAGTAAGACGGCTCTCGTTCTCGCTCTCGTTCGCATCGCTAGACATGATTTGGCAGGTGCGATACGCGGCGAGTGATGTAACCAACATTGTACGCGAGGGCATCAAATGGGAAGGAACGAGTGGGGAGGAGTCATGGCCATGGTGCGGGCGTGGCAGGAGCAGGTGAGCTGTTGAGGGAGGGGCTTGAACAACCGCGCGGCTGGACATTTGCTGTCCTCATGCACCATCACTGTCGCCTCGCTTCCGTCGTCGATGGATGCAACGCCCGCCGCGGACGCCCATGTATTATGTACGTACTACCGAAATCGCGTCGTCGCCGTGGTCTGCCGGTCGGGCCATCTGGAATGCCCCAGCCTTGCCGACCGCCTCGCAGCCGACAGGCAAGGCCGCGCCGCCCATCGCGACGCCAACGACAGCTGCGGACCCTACTCATTGGACAAGGCGCACGGCGCCGGACAAGGGAGAGCAGGGCTGAAGGCCTCTCGGGGTCCTGGCGGCTAAGCAATGCTAAGCATTGGGGGGCGTTTTCGTGGACCGTTTTCCGACCCCAACCTGGACGAGCCGCGTCCGCCGACAATGCAACCCGCCGCTGAACAACCAACAGGGAGGGCGGCAGCAGAAGCCACCTGAAGTGGCGTGGTCACAGTCTTTTGCCTGTGATCCGCCGCAGGTGCCGGACCTGGATCCCTGGGGTCTCGACCGTCGTCCCATATCGCGCGCTCGTCGGGGTTGGATTATATTTTGTTGTCGGGCTCGCCATCTCGGTCCGTCGTTGGATTCCGGCGTGTCTTGGCTGCGAAAACATTCTAAACAGGAACATTCGGGCAAGCTCCTGCACGTCGCTCGGCCGTCCGAGGCGGCCCAGGAACCTGGATCCACGGCGGCTGGGCTGTTGTTGGTCCTGGTCGTCGACGGACCAGAGCACGGCGCACAGGCTGCATGATCGGGGATTGGCCACAGGTTCGCAACTCATGGGATGTGCCGAGCGTGCCATCCTCGCGTCCCCTCCTCCGCTGAGCCTCTTGCGGCAACCCCCTCTCTGCTGCAGCAGCGGTCCTTTGGGAGCCGCCTTTTAAAATTGCCCAGTCAGCAGGGTCGTTCTCGGCGCGCCCCTCGACGTTCTCCTCCCGTCCCGTCCATTGCTCATGCGCACACACGCACGCTCTCACTCGCACACTGCAGCGCCCTCGGAACTGCTGCCTCGGCTTTCCTGTGCTCTCCAGCTCTCCAGCAATCGGCGCCTGCGGCCACGGACACCGCCGCCTGTCCCGGCAGTCAAGGGTGAGTAGAAACGCATAAGCGCCGGCGCAAAGCAGGACCGCACGGCGGGCCGGACCACTTGGCCCTATATCTCGACCAGGCACTACGACGACGGCTGCCACCACCAGGCCCAGGAGGAGCTCGTGCGGAGCTGACGCCTGCCATCTCACCTCAGCTCCGACGGCTTTTGGCTTTTTGGCTCCTCTGATCCGGCCCCGCGCCGAAACACGAGGCGTCAACTGTGCCCATTCGGAGAATTAAATAACGACCGCCGCCTTCTGGCTGGCTGACGGCCGCGACTGGCTCGCTAGCCTCAACTAGCTGGCCGTCGCGTCGCGTGGTGCTCACCTGAGGATGAGGTCCGACGACTTGCAGATGCGTGGGCCGGAGTCCCAGCTATCGCCCACCCAGCACTCAGCTCCGGGAGCCGGGCCTTCGGGCCTCGTGTTCAAGACTCGGCATCCCTCCGCCTGCAAGGAGTGCCGACGGAGGAAGCAAAAGGTCAGTTTAGTACCTGCATTGGCTTGCCGGCATTCGCGCGCATCGCCTGGGTTAGGGGGGCCAGCTGGGCGACGACGGGGCTGATCCACGTCGGTCAGCTCGCCTGTCAGTCTGCCTGTCAGTCCCGGCAGCCTGGGAGCGGCTGAGCCCCCATCTGCAGCGGCTCTCACCTTTTAGCCATTGGGGCCACGGCTTTCGTTGCCATGTCCCTAGCTGTCTCCCGCTTTGGTGTTGTTTGCCCCTTTGTTTGCTTTGCTGTTGCCGGCCTGGGTGGAAATGTGCATGGCTTCCCGTGGCACTCCTTCGTTGACTGACACATCGCCACCGCCCAGTGCTCTCTCACTCAACCGTGCACGAATTGTGCTCGTCGCTTCCCTCAGCCTGTTTGCGAGTATGGCGCTGAGAAGCCCAAGAGGTACGTCCCTTGCGCCACCCCGTGACAAGCTTCTCCGCCGGGGCTGCGCACCTAGTGCTCTCCTCTTCGTCCTAGCCTGCGACAGGGGCGTCGGACCATGACATATATACGTATCAGCATCTCCAGGCCCGAACTGGGGCATTCTTCCACCCTCGCCGTGGTCACTTGAGCCTCATAGTGGCAATAGGGGCGAGGTGCTGACCTTGACGTTCTTGTATTTAGGTCCAGCTATGCTCCAACATCGGACTCGCGGGGTACTGTTGCCCGCGCCGGCAATGGCCTTTACTCACACTTGGATATGGAAGCCGTCCACGATGCTCTCCTGCAAGTGGAAGGGCAGGTCGACTGGGAGACAAGGGGCTCCGGGGGCGGTGGGTACGGCTTTTCGCCGTACAACCAGCCCATCGGAGGCCCTTCGGGTCGGCTAGTGTTGGTGAATGGAGGAGGTCAAGGAGATGCAGATCCGCTCATTCAGTTGCGATTTCGTGACAAGACGGGGACGCTCAACGGCCAAGACCTCGTCGAGCTCATGCAGTTCATCCTCAAGACGCGCCTCAAGGTTACCAACAGCATCATCCAAGATGAGTGGCAGATTGACGGCGCGCACCTGATACGCGCCGTGCAAGGCGCGAGCCAGCCAAGCAACGCGCTGGCGAGATTTGAAGACGAGGTCCGCTACCTGCCGATGGCACCGACAAAGATGAACAAGGAGCTCATCCGTACACGTGAGGCTCCCCTGCGCCCACACATGCGCCACGCCGCTGACCGCCACAGATCTCCAACTCATGAGCCGCTTCAAGGCGTCTCTCGACGGCAGCCCCCGGCCCAACAACCGTTTCATGAAGCACTGGATCCCGTACTCAATCCAAGACCCGTTAGTGCTGCACGTCATTCTCTGCTCGACGGCCAGCTTCCTCAACGAGACGGGTCGGGTCCCCAAGGTCATGCTACTCATACACCGCACCAACGCCATGCGAATGATCAACGAGCACATAAGCGATCCGCGAAGGTGTACGGACGATTCTGCCATGCTCGCCGTCGCGCAGTCGATTCTCACGTCGTGGTACTGGGGCAGCACCGCCGAGCTCCGCACGCACATGGTCGGTTTCAAGCGCATGATTGAGATGAGGGGCGGCATGCAGAGCCTGGGCATGGAAGGCTACACGAGCAAAATCTCGCTCATGTGAGTTGGCGTCTCATCTTGTAAGTGGCCGCGTGCTAACAGCGACGCAGAGACGACTTTGTCATTGCGCTAGTTCACGAGACGCGGCCAATGCTCTTCGGCCAGCCTGGATTCGAGTTCGAAGACCCGGTCCGCGTGCCGCTGCAGGTCAACTTCAACTCGCCGCTCCTATTCGACTGCCCGCCTTTCCTCAGCCCGGCGTCGCCGCTCCGGCTGCACCCGCACACGGCCCAGATACTCGACGAGATGCGAACCGTGCACCGGGTCGTCGCCGACTTGTCCGACGACGCCACCGACGAGGAGGAGGCCGCCGTCTACCTGGCAGCGGATGCCGCTCTGACGGCAATACTCTACGTGCCGGAAGACGTGGCCCTGGTGGAAGGGGACTCTGAGACGTCGACCGGGCCCTCCAACTTGAGCGGCGGCTTGAAACGAAAGCGGCAGGGAGACGACACGGCAGAGCCGCGAAAGGCTGCCACGACGGCATTGGAAGTGAGGGCTGCCACGGCTGAGGAGATGCCGGATCTCGTGCACCGCTGTGTGCGCAAGGCGGCGCTGATATACTGTCAGGCGGTGCGCGACCGAGTGTCGACGAGCAGGGCGTGCAGCGAAGACGACTTCAATCAGGTATGGCATTGGGCATGGGGCGCGGGGCTGGACCGATGGGCGGCGCTCAGCGGCATATTCGTGTGGGTAATGATCGCGGTGGTTCCCAGCTCGCTCTCGCTGGTGCATTCGCGCATGGTCAAGTCGCTGCTGGTGACAGGGTTCATGTACTTGGGGACGGAGAATTGGCACGTGGCGGCGGACATTGCGGCGGCGGGACTCAAGATGCAGAGGTGGCTCAGGGGACGGAGAAACGGCTCAGACGGGGGCGTGGTGAGCGAGGCGTGGGGGGGTGAAAAGGTGGTTGAGAAGCACGGGTTCGCCTTCAAGGACGAGATGCCGGACGTGGTGCCGGCGACGATGGAGGAGGAGCACGAATCGGACGCGTAACGTTAGTCGACTGCCGCTGTTGGCTGAAGAGATTCGACAACTATCGGCGGCGTGCCCGCCGGGGACCTTGATGGAAGCACGATGGTGGAGGGAAGTGCCAGATCGACAAGGCATGGGTATGGACGGCATCGGCATGGCCTCGACATGTCTGCCAACCAGCCACTGATCGAGGACGCACGACTTTCATCATGACGATGCTCGGGATCAAGCTGCGTACGTGATGATACGAACCACGAATGAGCTGCCCGCCCCCGGCAGGCCGTTGGAAGGGGGCCCCAAGGAGGCTGAGGATGGCTGCATTGGATTGGGCGGGGTGCCCGTCTCATGCATGCAGTGCCACGTTGGCCGTGGGAGAAGCCCAATGGGCCGGGCGCCAACCGTGGGCCGGGCGCAGGCGCAGGCGCAGGAGCAGTGGACGAACGGCCGCAGGTTGATGAGTTGTTCGTGCGGGGGAGGAGAAGCCTGGAGGTTGTGAGCGACTTTGATTTGAAGTCGTGGCCTGCGCCGGTAGCCCGCGGGGGAAGGGTTGACGCATGCGCACGTCACGGACATAATTTGCGACTGTGCATATGTCGTGCGCGTTCGCTGGGCTGACTGCATGAATCCGTCACGGCTGCTTCCTCGTACATACTCATTAAAAACATGATCACAAAAACGGCGATGGCGCTGCTCGATCCCGAGGCTCGTCGCACCGCTCCTCTCCCATCGCATTGTTGCGCGACCGGTTGCGCGACGAGACGACCAAGGCATTCACTACACTCGACGCACGTTCAATTGTCACGCAGCCATCAACGGGACCGGCCCGGCTCAGCCATGTCTCTGCTCCGCGCCGCGCCTGTCTCACCGTCCGCGGCGGCCATGACACGCCTCCGAGTCCGCCGCGACACGCTCCCACGCGCGGACGGCGCCGCGCCGGCAGCCGCAGACAAGCGCGAGCCGGTCGACACGGACACGGAGGACGATGATCACGACGTGGGCCTCGACGAGGGTGGTCTCGAGGGAGGGGCCCGGCGCCGCGGACGGACGGGTGCGTGGCGGGTGTGCCGGCGACAGCAGCTGCAACAGCAGCTACAACAACATCACCGGACACGGCATCGGCGGCAGCGGCAGCAGCAATATCACGCGGGGCCAGCGACTGCAACGACGACGGCGGCCGAGGCGGTGCTGCTGGCGCTGGTGACGGCGGGAGCTGGAGAGCTGGGGCAGATGGACGGGGGTGGGGGGGTAGAGGGGGAGATGCGGTCGTGGGTGAGGCGGATGTGCGTTGAGCAGCTGTATCGCTTCGATGAGCAGGCTGCGTCGCGGTGGTGAGGGCGCGAATATAACGGAAGAGGAGGAGGTGGTGGTGGTGACGCTCGCGGCGATTATGGCTACAGCTACGACACGGCCGCCGTGATGATGGTCACGACCACGGTAACGATTACTATTCTACTCCATTGACGACTGAGCGGAGGATGAAAAAGCAGAGGCCGCAATGACAACCCACGACAGCAACGAGGATGATGACGGCAGCCAAAAATCAAGTCACCGTGTTTGGGATATCGGAGTGAGATGCGCGCGTGCGCTGCGACGTGGCTGTAGGGTGGGTGGATGCACCAGTTTGTGAGGGGGCAAAAGAGACTGGCTTTGGTGCGATGGGTTGTAGCTCCCACCCAAGCTTGACAGCTCGGAAATGTATGAGCCCGAGGTCGGAACGACACGAAAAAAAAAAAACACGGAAAGAACGAGGAGGGAACTACGGAGAAAAGGACTGCCGAGCAATTGGGAGGACGGGGTGTGCTGTGCGAGCGCATACATACGAGGAAAACGCATTCCCCCGCTGGGGGTTCGGTCAGGGTGAGAGACGTCCGGTGGCCGCGATGGAGAGGGCGCCGGCGGCCCGCCCGCCGCAGGATAAATACGAAACGCCGGGGAAAAACAGTACGGACGGCGAGTGAGTAAATAAGTGAGTGCTGACCCTTTGGGCTAATAAGGTTGCATGCCTTTCCAGCCCATCGGAGCGGGGCTCGGAACGAAATGGATGGGGAGACTTTGTGACGACAGAAACAGCTAAAAAGTTGAATTGCTGGGCTAGCATTTATAACCTCCAGTCCCTTGTGCCTCCTGCCCCTCTGCCCCCACGTAACGTACGACGACGACTACTACTACACATCCGCAGTCCAGCTCAACTCAACGTGAACAACGCGTTGGAATCTCATATCTTGTCATTCACAGGTTCGTCGGATCTCAAACTGTCTACACGTTGTGTGTGGTGTGTGTGCGTGCGTGTGTGTGTTGATGACATCACTGTAACTGACCGGTGAATAAAGGGGGCTTTGAGTCGATCTTTTGGAAGTCGAGCGATTACATATCCCCGGAGCGAAAAGCCGTCAGCGGAGAAAGGAAGAGAGTCACCATGGCCTCGTCCTCGTCGTCGTCGTCACCCATTGGCGTCGCCATCATCGGCGGCGGCCTGTTTGTCAAGGAGCAGCATCTGGTACGCCATCCTCCACCTCGGACCCCATTGTCACAGATAACCCTCTCCCTAGTGGCGCGGGGAGATCAGAACGTGTGACTGAGTGAGTAACTGACACACACGCGCACAGCCCGCGGTGCTCGCCTGCCGCAGCCTCGCCCTGCGCGCCATCTACTCGCGCTCCCTCAAGTCGGCCGAGTCCACCGCGGCGCTCATCCCGGGCCTCGTCGCCGCCGCCGCCGCGGAAGCGGGCCAGACTCAGCAGCAGCAGCCTCACGTGGACCTCTACTCCGAGGACTCGGACCCCGGGCGCGCCCTCGTCGACGTGCTCTCGCGCGACGACATCTCGGCCGTCATCATCGCGCTGCCCATCCTCGCGCAGCCCGCCGTCGTCGAGGCCGCCCTCGCCGCGGGCAAGCACGTCCTCGCCGAGAAGCCCATCGCCAAGGACGTGCCCGCGGCCAAGGCCCTCATCGCGTCGTACCACGCCCAGCGCGCCGCCACGTCCGGGCGCTGCACGCTGTCCATCGCCGAAAACTTCCGCTTCATCCCGCGCTTCGCGTACGCGGCGGAGGCGGCCGCGCGCATGGGCCGCGTGACGCACTTCTCCGTGAAAGTCATGTCGCACATGCGGCCCGACAACAAGTACTACCAGACGGCGTGGCGGCAGGAGCCCGGCTACCAGGGCGGGTTCCTGCTCGACGGCGGGGTGCACCACGCGGCGGCGGCGCGCCTGTTCCTGCGCGGCGAGGCCAACCGCGCGGCGACGGTGCGCGCGGCCACGGACCTCGTCCAGCCGGGCCTGCCGCCCATTGACACCGTCGCGGCGGTGGTGCGCACCGCGGGCGGCGCGACGGGCACGTTCCTGCACTCGGCGGGGACGCTCATGGAGGCGTTTGAGTGGGACGTGGCGTGCGAGGGCGGCTGGGTGCGCAGCGCGGGCGAGACGGTGACGGTGAAGCCAAAGGACGGGGAGAAGACGGAGAGGGTGTTTGAGCGCACGTCGGGCGTCAAGGACGAGGTGGCTGCGTGGGCGAACGGCATCGCGCGCGGCGAGCCCAACCCGCTGCAGAGCCCCGAGGAGGCGCTCGCGGACCTCGAGTTCCTCGAGAAGATGTTTGTGAGCGGGGAGAGGGACGGCGAGCTGGGGAGGTACGAGCTGCAGCTGTAGGAGAGGGGTGAATCTGTCTTAGTGTCGCGCTGTATGTGAGTTTCTGGAGCTGCGGGATGACATTATTAGCCCCTTGAAAAGTCACATCCTTTCCTCCAACGCCTTTTGATGAGATGAGAGCCAACGGAGCTGTCGAGGTGGTGTGTAAATGTTGTCAGATTCGAAGCACATGCTATGCAAAAGGGGGGAACAACGCCCTCGTTGAAGAGGTCTGTGACAGGTCCCATCAAAACTCCAGACGAGATGCGGACGGCAGACGCCTTCGTCCAACACCTCCAATCCAGCAGAGACCAAACGAGGCTTCAAGCAACTCAAATCTTGGCCGGCACCTTTCCGTCACGCACCAGCAGCCGCTCCAGCCCCCTCCGCAGCTCGGGCGCCATGCCCTCCGGGTGCGGGCGGCCCGTGGCGCGCTCGACAAAGACGTGGACGAAGCTGCCGACGGCGCGGACGGCGTCGACGCCCCGCTCGAAGACGGCCACCTCGTAGGTGACGCTGGAGCGGCCCAGCTTGGCGACGCGCACGCCCACCTCGGCGACGGCCGGGTAGGCGATGGAGGCGAAGAAGTCGGTCGACGTGTGCGCCACGAGGGGGTGCTGCGCTGAGTTGGGCGGGTGCAGGCTGCAGTGCTCCATGAGGTAGGCGTTGACGGCCGAATCGAAGCTGGGGACGGATGTGTCAGAGGTCCTGTATCCTGAAGAGGAGCCAAGTGGAGATTGACGTACAGGAAGTTGTAGACCGAGTTGTTCATGTGGTCGTACATGTCATTGTCGTTCCTGGGAGGAGCAAGTCAGCTTCAAGTTATCGAGACACAGCGCTGACCATCGACGGCCGCGCAACCGGTGGGAGGATGGCGCCATCTCAATGCAGCAAGGAGACATGAGCGACCAAACCCAAGCCCGAGCCCGAACAGCTGAGGACAAGCACCACCTCCACCAAGCAACTCACCATCGCGTCCGATAGTCCAGCACAAACGGATAGTCCCCCACGCGGCGCGCCTTGCGCTCCGACGCAGTCGACGACGCCATGGTGCGAGCGAGAGCCGAACCGAAGGCCGACGTGGTGGACCAAGGCCAAAGACAGCCGCGAGACGTCGGTGCGGGTGAGCGTTTGAGAAGCCAATAGCCGGCTAGTCGCGAGGCAAAGCGTGCGTGAGGACGAGCGAGATGATGAGAATGCTGTCGAACCCTCACGTTGCTGGCGGCGGCGGTGTTGTAAACGGCTCGGAAGCTAGTAGTAGTAGCGGCGCTGCGATTGATGATGGCGGCAATTGGCATCGGGCGGCGGCTGCGAACCGCAGGGTAGTACGTCGGACTGCGTTGCTACCAAAAACACGCGGTACGGTGGGCGCAGAAGCTACGTGTCTGATGGCAGAGACGGGAACGGGAACGAAGGTCGGCTGGCCTCAGCGTTTGCGACGACGTTGGAGCTTCACGTCGTTGACAAACAAACGCTCCGCATGCCGAGGTCCATTCAGTCCGCGGGACGGGGAAGGAGCCGTCCGCGTTGGGGCCGGGGGCGGGCACCTGCCTCCAGCACTCACCAGTGCCACCGCTGCAAGCCAACCAACCAGCAGCGGCCCAGCGGGGGGAGGATTTGTGAGGGCAACTCGCTGACATAAGCACGGCACACCAATGATCAATCCCCAGCCTCCAGGTCCCAGATCCAGGGACCACTACCCCCACCGCCGCCGCCGCCGCCATCATCTGCCGTGCCTGACCGCCTTTTTTCTGCGTCGTTGGCTTCACTCGACCTTGCTTCCTACCTTTGCGTGTCGTGTGCCTGGCCAACCCCGTCCGCCGAATTCTCCCTACGTTCCACGACAACGGCGCCAGGCCTTCCGCGCGCCAACAAGTCGTCTCGTCCGATTTCACCTCTCCCCCCCGGGGATGCTCGTTCGGGCCGGATCGCGAGCATTCGGAGCGCTACTCAAGCGAGCCGCCGCCGCCGCCATGGCCACCCCCGATGTCGAGGCCGCCCCCGCGCCGCCCCCGGCCGTGGCACCGCAGTCCGCTTCACCACCGCTGCCTCCGTCGCCGTCACTGCCTCCGGCACCACAGCGGTCCGCGTCTAGGTCGCCGCCGCCGCCGTTGAGCGCCGAGTCCAACCCGCGGCGCAAGCAGAGGCAAAAGGTGACGCAGCGCCCCAAGCACGAGGGCACCGCGCTCCCGGACCCCGATGTGCCGCTCATCACGCCCGTCGCGCCCATATGGCCGCCGCCGTACCACTTCGACGACGACCTGCGCCGCGTGCGCCCCTACCACTGGACCTACAACACGTACTGCAAGGAGCGCTGGCGCGGCCGCTCCCTCATCGACATCTTCGAGTCCGAGTTCCGCGACCGCCCCGCCGAGTACTACCGCGCCTCCATGGAGAGCGGCGACATCTGCGTCAACGGCCGCCGCGTCGGCCCCGACTACGTCGTGCGCAACGGCGACCTCGTCTCCCACACCCTCCACCGCCACGAGCCCCCCGTCACCGCCGACCCCGTCGCCATCATCCACGAGGACGACGACATGATTGTCATCAACAAGCCCTCGGGCGTCCCTGTCCACCCCGCCGGCCGCTACAAGTTCAACTCGGTCATTGAGATCATGAAGGCCGACCGCGGCGAGCACTTCATGCCCTACCCCTGCAACCGCCTCGACCGTCTGACCAGCGGCATCATGTTCATCGCCAAGAGCGTCCGCGCCGCCGAGGAGATGGGCAACCGCATCAAGCAGCGCACCGTCCGCAAGGAGTACATGGCCCGCGTCGTCGGCGAGTTCCCCGACGGCGAGGTCGTCTGCGACCAGCCCATCCTGCAAATCTCCCCCAAGCTCGGCCTCAACCGCGTCAGGGCCAACGGCAAGACGGCCCGCACCGTCTTCAAGAAGCTCGCCTACTACCCGCCCACCCAGCAGGAGCTGGCCCGCATCGCCGCCGCCGAGGCTGACGGCGCGCAAGAAAACGGCGCCGACGGCGACCCGCAGGCCAAGCCGTGGCTCAACAAGCGCGGCTACTCCGTCGTCCGCTGCCTGCCCGTGACGGGGCGCACGCATCAGATTCGCGTCCACCTGCAGTACCTCGGGCATCCCATCCAAAACGACCCTATCTACGCCAACCAGCGCGTCTGGGGCTTCGACCTCGGCCAGAGCGACGCCGACGGGACGCACAACACCGACGAGGACGTCATCAGCCGCCTGTCGCGCATGGGCAAGGAGGAGGTCGCCCAGGCCGTCGTCTACTACGACGAGATGGTCGACAAGTACGAGAAGCGCCGCGCCGAGAAGATGACGGGCGAGCTGTGCGACATGTGCGACACGCCCCTCTACTCGGACCCCGGCGCCCACGAGCTGTCCCTATGGCTGCACAGTCTGCGGTACGAGGACGCCGGAGGCGCCTGGTCCTACACCAGCCCGCTGCCCAAGTGGGCGCTGCCGCCGGAGGGCATGGCCGGGCCGACGACGGTGGGGGGCATGGAGGAGCTCGTCGACGCCGTCAAGGACGAGAACCCCGAGATGGCGGGGTGACGAGCCGCATCAGAGGGGCAATGGGGCATCGCAGCCGCGGCAGGCGGCACCCGAAGCAAGCGTGACACGGCATGGCACGGATACGATGAGGCTCTGCGGCGGTTACAGAGCAAAGGCAACTGCGCGGCGCCACTCGCCACGCGCCCCGGCCGTGGACGCTTGAAACTCATCGACGAGAGAGCCGGGCGTGGCGTCGGTCCGGATGGAGCGACCCGCAGCGTAACGGCCCGAAATTGCGTCGTGAGAGCCTCAAAAACAGACTGCGGCAGGGCGACTGGACTTGCCAGGGAGGCGCTGCGAAACATGGCCGCCGCGGGTGCCGTCGCGTTTGGCCATGATCTTCTGGAAGGAGTCGACTGTCATGTCGCACCAGTATACGCACACCCTTGGCAAACTCAGCGCCCCGTCGAGGCATGGTTCGCGTCAGAAGCCCTTGCTCGGTCGCGCCTCGCCTCCTTTACCCCGACCGGGTTGATGCTGTCCTCAGCCCGCGCTTCTCTTGTCTCGCGACATGCATGTCCGCCTCGACCAGAGGCGTTGCCAAACCTTTACGTTCATGAATCGCCAGACAGATGGCAGGAGGCTACTCCAAAACCAACGACCGAGACAACTGGTGCGGTAGAAGAGGGAGACAGCAAGACCGGCCCCCAAGGGCGCAAGGCATTAGAGCCAGCAGAAGCGAAAGCAGGAGAGTCAGGCGGCGGCATGCGCGGGCTTTGGCGAGAGCGAATGAGACCGCCAGGCTGGCGCATCCCGCCTCCCACCTCTAGGGCAGCGGACCCTGACGCGCGAGACTCGCATCCTGGTGGAAGCTGCGAAAAGGCTGGCCGACCGGGAGGAGGGAGGTGTGGCGCGGTGTGGACGTAGATGTGGTGTAGACCTGGGTGAGGACGTGGTGTCCTCGTATGGACATGGCCGACGTGCATGGGCAGCGGGTTGTTGCTGGAACCCGCACAAGATGAAGCATGCAAAGCATGTGTGTACTAAGCAAACCTGAGACATGGGTACTCAATATCGGGAAAGCCTCCACGAGCCTGCTGATGGATGCCGCGCAACCGGGTGTGTGTGAGAGAGAAACAGCGAGCGCGAGCCTGAAGTGAGCGTTTGTGCCAAGTGGAGCGCGCTATGAAAACCACCGAAGCTTCCATGGCGTCTTCCATGCGGCCTTCTAGAAGGGGACGTGGAAGGCGTTTAGGCGCGGTGGCTTGCGCACGAGCCCACCCCGAGCCGTGCTGAGAAGAGACAGCTCAGCGAGCGACGGGGAGTGAGGAATCAGGCGCTCCGACGATGCCCCAGGTCTCACTTCGCGGCTGCGTTTTCCAAATCGCTTGCCTGCGGATTCGATTGTCGCCGTGAGTGAGCGTCGGGTGCGTCGGCGACGGTGGATGAGAATGCGCTGCATAACGACAAAGACGCTGCCAGGCGTTCCCCGCCCCTGCATTCCCAAATTCCAACGCCCAACAGGGGGGGGGGTTAGTTAGATGATCCTCTGGCGCGCGACCTGCACAGAGAAGCCCGACCGCTTCCGAGATGTGCTGCTCCTGCGCCTGCATTGAGCGATTGACATGAGCATGATGAGAAATGGTGGTGGTGTTGGTGAGTCGTGACGGCGGCGACGGCGGTAGCGGCAGTTGCGGTGCGGTATGGAGCCAGCCCGGCCTCGTCCAATGACTCCAATCCAATCCAGTCCAGTCCTGCGCTTGACATGCACACATCGTACGAAGCGCGAGGTGGTGGTGGTGATGTCGGACCCCGGGATTGCCCCCAGCAGGGCCAGCACCCAACTTCAACTTCAGCAGGGGGCCCGACCGAGCAGATCGGCCGCCGCGACCCTCTCCGCCGCCGTTCGCCGCGCGCAGGGCAGCGAGGTGCCCGTTCGCAAGGTGAGGCGGGTGCGTGCCCGACGCCCTCTGCCCGTTTGGTCCTTCAGGCGGGGGCCAACGTGCATGCCAGACTGCAGGCCCCGTCGTTCATGTGCAGCAGCTGGCCCGCGCCCGGAACGGTGTCTGTCGGCAAAGCCAACCAAACCGTTGTTCATTCTTTGCCATGGGCGCGCGTGTGCTTGCGTATCTCCCCAGGTACTGCAGGTAAATCGGGTATTCGTTGACCTCGTGCCGGGCCTCGTCGTCATCCTCACGTCTCGTCGCCCGCGTACCCCGACCGGCCTGACTGCCTCGAAGTCGAGCCGGTGGCGAAAAACGTGGCAGCCCCGACGACGCTTGCCCTCGACGCCCCTCCGTCAACACCACTCTCGTAGGCCCGGTGCCGTCGGAAACATCCTGCCATGACAGCTGGGCAAGGAGCATCAAGATTTTAGCGCCGCCAGCCGCATGCTAGTCGCATTTGCCGTGCCTGCTTTCCCGACCCCGTCCAAAATAGCAGACTGAGGGACGCACATGCTCACACCTTTCCGCTGAAACATAATGTGCCCCTCCCTGGCCGCTGTTGCAGAAGCGCATCCTCTGGGCCGTCGTCGGGCCCGGCCGCGGTGAGTCTTTGGGCCGTCCTCACCGACGGAAAGACGGGCAGACGGGCAGACATAAACATGCGGAGCGGTCCAGCCGCGCGGACGGGCCGTACGTGGGCTCCTGCGATGGCAACGGGCGGTCGCAGCGTTCGGCAGCCGCGCCGTCCGTCCAGTCCCTGGTGTTGGTCACAATGACGCATGGCCAGGGCGCAGCACTTGGCAGGGGAGCCCCCAGCTGCTGCAGACGGCCCGTATTAGCACGGCCGTTGTGCTGCGATTGGCGAGGAGGCAAGACGAGATGGCGCGACCCGCTGAGTGAGGGCAACGTCGTGCCTTCAAAGCATGCATCTCGGGATCTCGTAACGCTCCATCATCGCCAGCGCTTGCCCTCGAGTGCTGTACGCGAAAGGGACAATCTGTGGTGAGCGGTCTGCGCGGTGAGTCCACACCGCCTCAGCACCTCGTTCCCGTGGCCTCTGGAAGAAAGGGGCAGGTGATGTAATGCCAATGCCTCCTCCTGCTCGGCCACCCTGGGCGACGTGGTGCATGAACGCCGGCTTGTTGGTAAACTTTCGCAGGAACCAAGGCGCAACCGCGAGTCCGAGCCAACGCTGCAAACCCCAGCGACGGTATCTTGGCATCACGCGATGCTCGCGGCCTCGAGGATCGTTTGCCCAGGCCTGGAATGAGGGTGAACCCAGGCTTGGCCCTCTCCCGAAGCTGCGGCACCTCCTAACAACCCACCAAATCCACATCGGACGCTCCGTCGGGGAAGGTCGTGTTATGCCTCCTCGACAAAGCCCCAATCAACTCCCGTTCGGCCATTGCCGCAACCAGAGGTCCATGGGCGTGGCCGTTTCGACTTGAGGCCCAGGGTTTCATGTAGCGGCCCACAGCGAGACCGCAGCGACATGCCAATGCGATCCAACAGGGCTCGGGACAGTACTGCACAGTCCGGTGCGACAACATCATGCATTTGCAATTAGTTACGGCATGGCGACCATCTGCGCGCAGAGAGACGGGCTCGGCTACCAGCCGAACAACGTGCGTACGTACGTACGTCCTTGCACATGCGACGCGGTCGAGGCGTCATTGTGGACGCTCGTGGCGGTGCATGGGCCGGGAGGCGTCCGTTGCCCAAAATATCCCACAGCGCGGCGCTGGGGGTCAGCGTCGCACGCCGTGGGTTGTGCCTCGTGGCTTGGCCGTTGGTGGTTGGGTTTGCGGAGTCTCCTAAAACGTTTCTTGGCTTCCCGTTGAGGCTGCCTGGAAGTCGAATGCAGGGTCTGTATGCAGTCGCCTCTTCCTGCGTCTCAATGCCACCTGAGACGCCACGCCAGACAACGTCCAAGTGAAGAACCAACTCGACGCCCGCCGCGGCAAGGACAGACATGGGCGAATGGAAGGTTTGCCGTGTCTGTCCTGGGTGTTTGGGGTCCAACAGAGTTGGGCGGCGGCCGCGGGCAGACTTTGCCCGGCTGTAGTGTGCGTTGGACGGGCAGCCAAGACGACGTCGCATCGGGGGGGTCGCAGCTCATCTCGGCTCGATCTGCTTCACAAGGCAGCCCCGTTCCTGTGACTGAGGCCCCATATGCCCGCAGCTGGGGCTCGTGAATTTTGGTCGTCTTCATCCGGCGGCCTTCTCCCCGGCCCACCAGACCCTCCGCCCACCCATGCAGGATCGACCACCAATCCAACGCTGCTGGGGCCGGCGTCCAGTCGCAGCGCTGCCCTGGGGCCCAAGATCCGCAGTACCGGCTCGCTGGGACTGCGTCATCAGCCAAGGGCCACCCTCCAGCAGAAAGCAGTGCGCCATCCCCAGGGCCCATGTCTTGGAGCGACGGACAGGCGGATCCCAGTGAGGATCCCCGGGAGGCGTGGTCACCACAGGGAGCGCGCGAGTACCGTTGGGCAGGCACTGGAGGCCGTACCGCTCGAAACTGAGACACGACGCCGGCATATGGGCAAGGTTGGCGACATGGCCAGTTCCTGAACGCTGGGAGACCCAAGCCAAGCAAGGTGCACCCCAAGGCACGAGGTTCCACGTGCGGATGACGCCACTGGGCCTGACGGCTGCCGAACGAAACAACACAACCCGCGACAGGGCCTCGAGGGGGTGAATGTTGTGAGGCTTGCGGCGATGACCAAACGGGGGCCGGTGGGATGAATATTGTCGAGCGTTACGCAGCTGTGGCTGCAGGCCAGGCACAATTTTTTTCTGGCGGTGTTGGAGCGGCCGTGGTGCCTGGCAGCCTCAATTTGCTCATATACAGCAGGGCAGGAGCAATGGACTGGAGGGGAGGTGACTGCCACATGGAACAGCGAGTACCGACCATGCGACCGTCCGCTGCCCAGGTGCACGGCAGGCGCACCAACGTGCCTGTGGCGACGCCTCCCAGGCCGGTTCGGGCAAGACTGGGTACCAGACAGCACCGGCATCCCGCGCTGCGGCGGCAAGTACCGTCGGCCTAGGAGAGACACCACATGCATTGCGGTGTCGGGTGGCATCTCAGGCACCCAAGAACCCCCAAGGCACCAGCTATCTATAGCCTCTGGCGGCTGCAACATGGCGCTGCGGCGTCGGCAGGCTTCCACCACCGCATTCTATTTTGCAGTGCATTTCGCATTTGCGCGGTGACCAACCGCCGACCCCATTCATTCATTGTGCGTCTTTATTTGCAGGACCCGGGATGCACGCCGCAGAATAGGCCAGGCAGAAGCTGGCGCAGCGAACAAAACATGATTGCCTAGAGGAGGGCTGGTGTGCGCTTGGTACAGTCGGGTGCTGTATTGTCTCCCTCCGGGCCGGGTTCTCAATGCACCTCCCCCCATCTCACGGGATGGTGCGGCCGACCCGCATGAGGCATGGCCGACGAAGCCGGCCAGGCAATTCGAGAATGTCGCAGTGGTGAGGAAATGGGCGAGACACCGGGACCCGATGGGCGGAATTGGCCCGCTGGGACAGCCGAGCCGTGTGTCGGCAAACCTGCCCAAGCGCCGTAACGTGCCTACGTTAGGGGACGCCGCAGCGGGCTCTAGCAGCCTCACTCAGGTCGCTGGCGATCCCACTAACAAGGCCCAGCGGGCCTGCCGGCAGCGCTCGTCAGACACTGCTGGGGCCGGCGGCGCGTTGGACGGGACGCCGCTACGCCCGACGCAGCACGCGACAGCGCCTGTGAGTTGGCTTAGCGGGCGCCGGCGCAGCGGGCTCCCTGGCCGTGGGACCGTACAAGCGCGGCACTTGCGGGCACATCCCCATCATCCATGCCAGTGGAAGCGCGTTCCAGGTTCCGCACCACGGGTCAGCGCCTTCTAGCGGGATGCTGCGAAGTGGCTGCAAACGCCAGCAGCTAATTGCCACGCGCTGCCCTTGTCTCTGCCCTGCGTGCTAGCTGCTAGCCCGGGCTGAAACGCGCGGGGCACGGCCGCAGAGAGAGCGAGAGAGTCTCTCGTTCTTGACGACGGTCCAGGGCATTGGCGCGAGACCACGACGACGACGCCGCCGCCGCCGCCGCCGCGGTGGAGGGACGGGTGGGCGAGCAAGGGACATCAATTGCCCGTGTGGCTGCTGATGAGGGCCGCTGATGGCCGGAGGGAGCGCAACGAGTGACTGGTCGGGCGGCCACCGGTGAAGAGGTCCCGGTGGCGCGCCTGGGCTGGCGCTGGCCGTGGCTTCCCATTGACTGATTGAGAACGCCCAATTGATGAATGGGTGAATCCGGTCGCTGCCTCGGGGACAATCGCGGCGGGGAGCTCGGCCAATAAGCCGGGAGGCTGCTGCTGCGAAGGCCGCCACGCGGGCGTGGCACATGGCATGGCGACGAGTGTCGCGCATCGCCAGGGGCTTCGTGGGAGGAGCGAGCAAGAGAGGTGATGTGTGTGCCCCCTTTCCCGTGTACTTTGCGATTGGGCGCGCCGCCAGTTGCGCCTTGACCTCTGGGTTGCAACAGGGCCAGCATGCCAGCCAGGCCAGAAACTTGGGAACCCACTTGGCCAGCGATCACCACTGTCAGTGTCAGTTGTCAGTGTCACCGCCGCGGGCCGCCGACCATCTTGATCGCACTACCGCACGGTAGGCATCTGGCCAAGTGCAGGCGGCTGCTGCTGCTGCGGGTGCTTGTTGGCGGCCCACTCCCGTATCCTTCTAGGCTGCACGACGACGGGGCTTCCATGGATCTCTCGTCGACGCTACGACGGGACTTCGGGAGGAATACGGTCGCTGAGCCGCGCCCGCCTGCGTCGGTGAAGCAGGGAGGCACGGCACAGCACACGCGAGCTGAACCGGGGCGGAAGTGGACGCGGAAATGGAAAAGCTTATCAATCCATCGCCTATCGATCGAACGGCGCGAAGATTCAAGGTTCCGTCTCGCCTGCGGTTTTGCTTTTTTGCTTTGCCTGCTGGGCTTGTCTCTTTTACCCTTCGGGATTCTTTCGGGGACCCTTCCGCTCCAGGGCCAGCGAGCCGACGGCAGCTGGGCCGCGTCTGTCCCGCGAGCGCAGGCCCGTTCTGTCTGTGGCTGCTCTGCCTGGGTGGAATTTGCCGTCGTTCCGTTGCCGCTGACGGGGGGGGAGGTAATTATGGCGCACACCATCAACGTCTTCGCGCGGAAGTCTGTCTGTCGGCCAGTGCGGGCGGTACCTACGGAATGCGTGCGGTGGGCGCCGCAGCGTGAGTACCTAGACCTGGAAGTAGGCCGGCGGGTCGGCGAATCGAGAGACGGGGTGCTTGCTTACCTCAACACTGGAACTGCCCGGGTGCTCAGCCACACCTCTTGCGCTGTAATGCGCTGCGCTGCGCTGCGGCGTGCTGCACGCACCTCAGCCTGCGTGAGGCGGCAGGCCGGGTACGACGGGCATGCCGGATGGCCTGCAGGGCTTGGCCTGGCACATGGCATCCCGTCCCTGGGGAGAGAAAATTTTGGACGCTGTTTCTGCCCGGCCAATCCCTACTGGCAGTTGATGCTGGTACGGTAGCTGGTGGTTGCTGCTGCGCCTGCGGCCGCGCTGCCAAATCTCTGTCCCTGTCCCGGCCGCCTCCGGCACTTGGCCTTGGGCCCCCGATGTGCCGCGCCCGACAGGCATGATGACTGATGACGCTTCGCTCTGCCCGGGCGAGCCCACCGCACCGCACCGCACCGCACACCGCGCGCACACCTCACCGCTGACGGAGACGGACATCCCACTGCGTGACGGGCGGTGCGCCTGGAGAAGCGGGCCACGTGACGCCGACGGGGAACCTTGGCAGGGAGACAAGCGCATCGCATCGCTCCCGTCGGTGGGTGCCGGTGCCGCCGCAGGGGAGCAGCAGTAACTAGCAGCAGGCCCGGCTGGATGGAAAATAACGGCAAGCCGGACAGACAGGTGGCTCCCGGTGCCGGGCACAATTTCCAGTGTCGGCGACGGGTCTCCCAATGCGGCATGAGGCTGCCAACCTTGCGTGCCCGTGTACGCGGTCGTTGACCGTGAGGCGGTGGATGGAGGGATGGCTGCAATGGCCAGACGACAGCAGTGGGCAGTTGCAGCGCACAGGGCCACCACCACTGGGCTCTACCCACAGGGGGGGGGGGAGGGGTTCCATAGTGGCGGGCGGACAGCAGAGTTGCCCTAAGGTGGTGAGGCCAGGCAGGCAGGCGGGCGGGCGGGCAGGCCATCACCACAGCAGGCCACCTGGGGCACCACCACCTCAGGCCAGCCACAGGGATGGGGAGGGCAGGCCACAGAGGCGGCCACAGGCCACACAACCTTCTGGCAGGAGAGGAGAGCCACCGCCGCACCACCACACGCCATCCACCCGCCGCCAACACCCATCAGCGTTTTTTCCCTCTCTCTCTCTCGTGGCCCGGCGCAAGCTTGGCAAGCCACACGCCCTAGCTCCAGCTCGCCCACGCCTCTCACCCTCCTCACACCCTCTCGGTGCGCCCCCCCTCCCAAACAGCGCCCCTGGCCCTCCCGGGGGTCCGCATCGCGCACCCCTGCCCGCGAGTGACTTCGGCTAAGGGCACCCCCATCTCCACCACCCTTCTCCAAGTACCTCAGGACTAGTGCGCTACGGGCTCCACCCCTCACGTCTGTCCCCCGGACCACGATATAATTCTCCATCCATCTCGCAGTCGGCAGAACCTCCAGCTAGCCCATCCAGATCCATGTGAGCCACCGAGCATTTAAATAAGTTGCGAGGATCCCGCTCCACCCTGCCTACCTTGGCCCTTCTAGAAGACGTCCACTCTTACCATCATCACCCATCACAACATCAACTGTCCATTACAACATCCATCATCATCATCCCTCCTCCATACTATATCATCACTGCAACGACAACTGCCATCCAGACAGCAGACTGAACAACATCGTCACCATACAACCAACTCCCGTCACGCGTCCCCACGCATCATCCACAATGCCACCGCGTGCGTCGTCTGCGGAACCCGCAGCCAAGTCCTCAAAAAGAAAGGGTGAGCCCCCCAATCCTCATCACACATCCGTCGCTCCCGAGCCGTCACAGACTTGCTAACACACGAACCGACAGGCACCCGAAGCGTGTCCACCCTCACGCCGTCGCAGCTGGCCCGCAAGAGGGCCAACGACCGCGAGGCCCAGCGTGCCATCCGCGCCCGCACAAAGGAGCACATTGAGCGCCTCGAGCGCGAGCTCGACGAGCTCCGCAGCCACCAGAGCCGTGACCGCACGGTCCAGGACCTCCTCCGACGGAACAAGGCTCTCGAGGACGAGCTGCGTCGCTTGAAGGAGAACATGGGCACCGTGTCCATGAACTCGTCGCCGTACTCGGCCCCCGCAGGTACGACACTCCTCGCCACGGGCCTGGACGCCGACTCCCTCCACCACAAGCACCAGCACCATCACGCCGGCCTCCTGTCCCAGAGCCTCGCCCGGCTAACTCCCAGCCCTTCAGTGTTCGACGACAACCTCAGCACAACGAGCGGCGGCGCCCCGCCCATCCCCAGCCCGCAGATGTCGCCGCTGCCCTCGGCCGCCGACTACGCGCCCCTGCCCGAGTTCGGCCAGCAGCAGCAGCACCAGCATCAACAGCAGCACCAGCAGCACCAGTACGTGGGCATGCCCAACAGCTGCGAGACGTGGGCCGCCACCATCCCCAGCACCGCCGCGGGCATGCCACCCAGCGTCCCGAGCCCGTCGCCGTCCATCGCCGACGAGTACGGCGCCTCGGCCGCCTACATCCCCACGAGCGTGCCCGCGTCCATGATGCCCTCCAACAAGGACGTCAAGCTCGAGTTTGACAACATGCAGTCCATGGGCCAGGGCTACATGCACCACGAGCATCCCCACCACCAGCCCCAGCAGCGCAACGCCGCCTGGAACGTGTACCCCATGTACTATGACGGCGCGCAGCAGGCCGTGGGCGTTTCGCGATGACAACTACCGTGGGCGCAGCTTGGCTCTGTACAGGGCTGAGTGACTACACTCGAGGCGGACCGCGCAGCAAATGGATCGACAAGCACACGCCCATGCGAGCTGGCAGCTTCTACGACGAGCCTGATCAGACACTTGATTGGCCGCCAGTTGCAGCAAACATCGGAGACGCCAGAGACGAATCGAAGGTCGATGGCCAGCCCGGTGCGCGAAAGGGACAACGCTGAGCCGAGGCTCTGGTCCGAACCGCCACTCTGGACGCGGCGACAAACCGTCGAGCCCGCGGGCTCCACCGCGTCACGACGAGTCACAGGCGAAGCCGAGCCTCCCAGGTCGCCACTCGGGCATCCACACCGGCGTCCGCAACACGATTGATGGACGCCTGTAGGAAGGATGCCCAGGCCACAGCGGAAGCCCCTTCACTGCACTGCACGGCGAGGGCGAGGATGTGCCGGCCAGAGCGCTGCCGAGACCAACACGAACACGACTGATACGACACTGCATAGAACGGAATGGACGCTTTTTACTGGTCAGGTGTGTTTGTACAACAAAGTGGGATTTTGGGACACTGTGTTTCCTTTGGCTATTGAACGTTTAGGAGGTTTTCTGTGGTGTTTTGGGGTTCTTGGCACAGAAAAGAGACAGGGAATACCATGGACGGCGAAACGCGTGTGGCTTACAAGTAGAAAGGGGGCGAAGCGGATGGGAAGGGCTGACAGGCCTCTTCCGTACCAAAGATACGATACTTGTTGGTTTTTCAGTCGTCGTCACCAAGAACCATACACGACTTAGAGCAAGATATCAATTCAACATGACACGTCATGATCAATCACTCTGGATGCCTCTTTTGCTTCGTCTCCATCTACTCCTGCTGTGACTTGTCTTGTCTTGACGGGTTCCATTGCCGGTGACACGGTGACGACATTTTTCAATGAAGACGCAGTTGACCCGCATACGTGCTTTGCTTTCTGCGGCAGCCTTCCTTGGCGGGCGGCACCCTCCCCCTGATGTCTCGCCCGTTGGGGGCATCCTCCGCTGCGGTGCAACATGAGATGCGGTGCGGTGCCGGTGGCCGCCCCTGCACGCCCACTTCCACTTCCACTCCATGGAACAAACCTGCCCGGGGTGCGCCGGCGCGCGCGCCGTGCGACCACCACGCAACAAACGTCACACACACACACAGGGCAAAAAAACCCACCCAACACAACGTCCGAGGACATGCGTCGGCGCTGAGTGCCGGACGAAAGAAGTAGAACGACGAGAGAGGCGAAAGCGGTGCGCGGGCGTGCTGGAGGGTGGGGTGCCACTGGGTGGCTGCACAGGCCGACCAATACCCGGGGGGGGGGGGGGGAGGGCCAGCGAGGCACACGGCTTGCTACGTACTGCATACGCACGCAGACACAAGACACAGGATGGGAGGGTACGGTATGGTATGGCACGGGCAGGCATGGCATGGCAGGTTTGCCAGATTGGGCATTGCCGAATAGGCGGCGGCGATGGTGATGGTGGTGGTGGTGGCGGCGGCGGGCGGAACGGAAACAACGCAAAGCAAGCAGAGCGGAATCGCAGCGAAGCGCAGTGAAGATGCGCGGGCCAACTGTGTATGTCTGCGTGTGTGTGTGTGCCTGCCTGCGTGTGCTTGTATGTGCGTGTGTGTGTGTGTGTTTGTGCGTGTGCCTCTCTCTGGGAGTGAGCTGGGCCTGCGCTCACAGAACCGGCCTGCCCGGCCGGAGAGGCGGTGCGGACCTTCGGGCGCCGAGAAGAGTCCTGGGAGAGAACGAGACAGAGTCCAGAGAGAGAGATCCGGCGTGAAGAAAGAGTGGGACCGGGCCACGCTGCTCCGCTGCTCGCTGGGAGGCCTTGTGGCGGGGCGGCAGCCAGCACCAGCACCAGCACGCTGGGCAGCCTGCCAGTCGCGGGGGGTTAGACGGGCGCAACGACGGGGGCTTGCGAGGCGCCGGCAGAGCCGCGGCAGCGACCTGAACAGCGCTGCAGGTCCACGTGTGCCAGCACGCCAAGGCCCTCTAAAGCCCCCCCCCCCCGAAAGCAACTGTGCGCCTATAGGCACGAGGGGGAGGGAAAACCGCGGCGTCTGATGCGGCCAACAGCCGGGCGTGCCCAGCGGCGGAGCCGCGGAGGCGGCGGCGGGCGGGCGGCGATGGCGACGGGGCAGTGCCCCGTTTCGGGAATTCGCTTCCACCGACGCGCGAATGGCTGCACCATTCTTTTGTGTCCGTGTTTTTTTCTTCTCTTGGCTCATCCCCGTGTGCTTCGGCATTGGGCCTCCGTCGTACCCCGATGGGCGTGTGCGTGCGTGTGTGTGTATTTGGATTATTCAGAGTGGCATGGCCACACGGGAGAGATGGATGGATGGATGGATGGATGGATGACTGGATGACCGGACTGTGCAAGGAGGCAAAAATGGCGTATACGTGCGGAGTGTACCTCGGCTTCGCGAGTATGGTGTAGATGACCCCCCGTTATATCCGTTGCGTGCGTCGGTGCCCTTTCGGAGATAGGATCCCGACAGCGCGGTTAAGGTACTAGGTAGGTATGACTGTATGTGTACGTACCTCCTGTGCTTCGTATGGCAAAACCCTCCGGAGTGAAGTTTGTTTTGGATGCTCGGTGCGCCCTGGCTTGGAGGCGTGCGTGGCATCATGTTGGGCGGTCGCGTGTAAGTGCCACGGCATTGGCGGGGGGGAGGCCAAGAGCACCCAAGAGCACCCGCCATAATCAACAGGTGTAGATGGGTCGATCGTTACCACTGCCTCGGGTCTGCGGCGGCGCCCGTGTTCGTATTCCGTCCAGTCACGTCCAGCCCCTGTCGCCATCCCTTGCGTTTTTTTCATCCATCCAGCCATCGCATCCTTGGCGAGCACATGGGAGAAAGGAAGGAGGCAAGCCCAGCGAAGCCAAGGTCCCCTGCCTTACGGCAGCGTTGCCCTCGGAGCGGAGAGGGAGGGGGGGCCCGTTCGCCGCCGCCGCTGCCTGCAAGGGCACGGCACGGGCATGGGTATGGGCATGGGCGTGGGCGTGGACATGGGCATCGAAGATGAAGGCCACAACGCGAAGCATCCATATCCAACAACGCTTGCCAAGACATTCGTAAACACGCACCATGGTGGAAAATAGGGGAGGGGGGAGGGAAGCAAAAGAGAACTCTAAAAAGATACATGTCCTAGGGGGCGTGTGTTGGAAAGCGAGTCCATGGTCGGGGACCAAGTGTACTTCGTGCCAAGTGGTGGCCGTCCCTCTGGGGATAGAACGGGTAGGACGGGAAGCCGGGGGCCTGCTGGTGGTGAATACGTGCACGGGAGCCGGAAACCGGAGTGTTGGGAAGGGAACATACGGGGGGCGAAAAAGGGCCGCCCGCGCCCGCGTCACGGGGCCCGGCGAGCGGGCGTGCCAAGACCCGGACCCGGGGCGGTGGTAGAGACGGGTACGGCGGGGAGGGCAGGAAAGCAAAAAAAGAACCACGCGAGAATGAGAAGATGGCGGTGCTTGGCGAATATGCGCTTGGCCATGCACGGGACGCGAAGGGTTGGGTGCCACGAGGGTTGCTAAGAAAACAAGGTATGGTGCTAGGTGAACTAGACGGGGGGCAGGTTGCAAGGCAAGGTGAGCCGAGGGTGACGGATGGGCGAGACGGAATGGGGGATCGGAGGGCCCCGCGTTTGGCGGTTCAGCGACGCGCTGTAGGGCATCTCAGTGGCAGTGCAGCGCAGTGCAGCGCGTCTCGCTGCCGCTACGAGCGCTGTAGTCTACCCACGCCCATCCAACACGATCCATCCATCCATGCCCACGTGCCATGCGGCGGCCCGCCCGCCGGCGAGCGCCTAGGTGAGTGTCGGTGGGCGCCGGTCGGTGAAGGACGGGCGCTTCGCAAGGCGCATGTGAGTGAAAGGGCCTGCCAAGGGTAACTAAAACAGGCCCCGGACGCCGTCCTTCTAGGCGGTGCTAGCAGTTAGCAGATGGGCATGGCATGGCATGGCATCATGGATCTGGGCGTGCGGGCGGTGCGTGTGCCCGCGCCAAAGGCTAATCAATCGTGCATCTAGATCGGGGGTTCCAGCGTGCCGGGACGACTGCCAAGAAGGGATCGCTGTTCCCTTCCGTGGGTTGGTGCGCTACCTAAGGCAGACTGGGGGGTGTGAGCTGTCCGGGCTCTGGAGGTTCCCGCTAGGGGACCGCCAGCGTGAGGCTCAGCAGCTGCACCAGCGATCGCGTCCCCACGCTGTCCGGCCAGGCCAGGCCAACTGCTCAACACAGCGTTTGGCTGGCGTCAGAGTGCCAGGTCAGGTGACTCCTCGATAGGCTTGGCATCCGGGCTTGGGAGGATCTGGCTTCCGGCGTGCTGGGTGCTGGTGTTGAGTTTACTTCGCTGGGGCGCGGAATAGGACGGCCGCCAACAGGCCTCGCCCGGTGCTCTCCGGCCAGTCCCAAGCGAATGGTAGCCCGGCCCGGCGTCGGCACCGGAGCGGTACGAGGCCCCCTGCGGGCCCAGCGTGCGCCGGACCAAGTACCGCACGGGTGTGGCGAGTGCAACGCGGCCTGGCGGCTCCCGTGGCTTGGCCGATGCCGCGTGGCTCAGCCCAGCAAGCACGCACCACAAATCACCAACTTAACCTTTTTCTCACTTTTAACGTTCAAAAGTGGCTCCCGACATCGCGGAACTCGCTGGCGAACCGGGGAATTTACCCTCCTTTAGTGGCATCTTGGCGTTTTGCCGTTCAAACCTCCCGGTCGGCGGCTTTCGATGCCCTTCTGCCGTCATGCCACGCGCTTCGCTGGTTTGACTGTGCTGCACCACACTTCACACCAATACTATCCCCTCCCTCTGCTAGGACTCGTATGATCTGTCAGAGCTGGCTGGACGGTGCTAGACACCGCTAGAGGAGCTCCCTTGCAGATCGTGCATCCCGCATCACGGGGAAAGCTCTGGGCTAGGCGCGCCCGACGCGCCAGACTCGTATGACTTGGTCGAGCTGGTGAGCGTGCTA